TACTAATTGAGAAGGAAAATATCATTACTTCTGCTGTTTTGCTTGCATTCTTCCTTTCATCGAGATTGGTGTTTCTTCCAGTCCATACAAAGACTTCCACTCCACAATCAAGAACAAAACATTTGTTTGTGTCTAGCAACTCTCTGGTAAAAGTATCTGCTTCAACTTGCTCAGCTTGCCCTTTTCCAATGCTATCAAAATAAATAAAGCATTGAAGCTCAAACATTATCCCAAGGGAAAATAAAAAAAAACAGCGTAACTATTCATCCAGCATTCTGTCTCCACTAGAAAATTAAAAAAAGGAGTATATTTTGCCTTTTCTCCCTCTTTCTGAACCTGTTGTCAACAATTTTAGATTCCAATAGCCCACCTTATTTATCCATTTCATCCAAAACTATCCAAGATTTCGAAAAATATGAATTGTTAACAATAATTAGGAGCACATATAAGAATGTTTATCCACCGTGAGTATTAGAATGGCAATATGTGCACGTATAACAAAATAATAAGTAAAATCAAAGGAGAAGTCAAAAGAGAAAGGAACAGAAAACATGAAAGAAAGGGAAAGATAGGGATGATGAAATTTTGTGACAATGCATAAATGTTGATATAGCTAGAAAGAAAATTGAGGATATAAGACAATTGATTTAAAGGATTTACCAAAATAGTTTGGTCTCATCAGAAGCAGGCAATTTATCCTCGTCACTGGCTGTTTTCCGTGGAAGTGGAGCAAAGCCACCAAAGAAAACCCAGAACTCCCCCGTTTCAGCATCAGCCATCAATCTTCCATCCTCTGTTCAAATAGCCATAGAGGTTAAACCTCACGAATGAAGCAGCTACCTCTGAGTATATGAAATAAATCTCAACTTACCAATGGAAGCTACCTCACATTTCCCATCATGATACGTGTCTTTGATATATTGGACTACTTCTAAGGCTTTAGCCCTCTCTTGTATGGATGAATTGGAACCATTAAATTGAAAAATTTTGGACGTGGTATCAAGAATGAAAATGTCATCATGGTTTAGAGATGAGCGAGCAAAAGGAACCTGCACCAAGATTAGACAATTAGAATAAGGAAAACATTCAACTACATGCAAAGGTTTACTGACACTTGCCTCCTTTACATGTACGACATGTTTTCCTTTGCAGACAAATAACCGTGTCTGGTGCTCTTCGGCCTCAACATGTTTGAATCCAGATGCTGTTCCACCTTCTTGGGGTATGATACATGGTTTAAAATAAGATAAGAACTTCTCAGTTTCATGGCCTTGGACTTCACGGTACTGTACTGCACGGCCTCCAAGAGCTGCATCAAGCTCTACTGCTTTTATGGCAGCAGCACCAGCTTCGTCCTGTTCCAAAGGCATCACAAAATCATTAGCAAACAGCATGAAACCATGGGCTTGAAGTATTGAAAGAATCTATAAATGAGAGCTAACCTGTGAGGTATCTCTGCCAAGCCAATAGTGTATATCTTGGCGCAAGGCACCACTTTTTAAAGCAGTAGTCTGAAGAGATAAGAGCACAAACATCTTAGTACTGTTTTATAATTGGTGCACCTTCTCTAAAGAAAGTGCATACGTTGAGCAACAAATAAATCGTTATACCATGAAGCCTTAAATTTATCTTCTTACAAACCATAACATCATCCAATTCTAAGTAACAAATGGAGTCCACTATTCCAAATTGGAAAAAAAAAATATTGATGATGCTATAGAGGGTGAAACTGCACCCACCTCTTACTCTGCCAATATTAATAATCACGATTTTGATGGGAATTCTCAACCTCTATGGTTCAATAACCTACTTCTATTAAGAAACATACTTTCTAGATAACATAATGTAGAAGGAACCATACACTTCAAGAGTAATTTCTTTCTATGCATTAATAAAATAACGCATGTGTTTTCAATTCTTACATGGAAGCAATCAATTACAAGAGAAAACATACCTTCAAAATAATATAGGAATCTCCCATGAAGAATTTTCCATAAGAAGCCTTTGGAATAGCAACCGGATGAAAGTTTTCAATCCGCCATATCTCGAGACCACTATATTTGTTAAGGCCAGCAGTTCATCAAGAAAAAGGAAAATGTAATAAAGCTACTTCAATCTAACATCAACACACGACAAGCAAATAAAAGAGAAGCTAACTCGAAATGGGTAATAGTTCATCAGGTAAAGGATACGCTTTTTGTCCAGCTCCTTGAAAAGCTGGATCCAAGTCTCTCATCGAAACAGACATACTGTTTCCGCACTTCGACTAACTTTGACCTCCACCACTTTGATAGTTTGGTTGCTGGGCTACAGGTATCCTGCAATGATAAGCAGTGCAATTGGTTATCCCATGACATTGACAGCTTATAATGTACTTTCGATTGTAAAAATGGCCAACATTTCATCAGAATGCACCTAATCCCTTATTTCATATTTCAAGCCTTGACATATCTTGCATATACTTTCCCTATGAGTACATACATCAGACCCAATTCATTTCCAGGCAGCATCACGCTATTCCTTAAAAGGAATAGCCCGGAATCCCCGCTATAACTAGGTGCCGACGAAGTACAAAACCCATTTACCCCGCAAGAGGGGATCACATTTCGCACAAATTTGCCGGTAAGTCCAAAATGAGATATCATTACTGGGCACAGAAATCAGAATGACAATAAGAACGCCTAAAATTCAATGCGAAAGGCACTCTAATCGAATGAATAATTAATAATATAATAGCGAATGAGAAAACCCAGTTTGTACTGGTTGTATGACACCATTATTATGCATATCTCGAATTGCTACACATCGACATCCCGCACCGCCCCCCATCACAATCAACACCCGCCAAACAGTTTCGCCCGGGGATAAAAACGGACAATAAGGAGGAAGAAGAAGAAGAAGAGGGGGGTGAAACGAACTCAAACTCGGACGGATTCCATGGCGGAAGTGCTGAATTCGATCAATTACAAACTGAGCTACCGGGGGCAGGAAGGGGGACGTTGGCATTTCGAAATGAAAAAATGGAAGCCACCGTAAAGCCAGGAGTGTAAACAAAATAAAACAAAAACAAGCAGCGTGGAGACAAGAATGAAAAAAAGGCAGACTCGGATTCACTGTAACATCACTCATCAATTCATAACCTTTCCCATCCCGGATTTCGACAGTGGAGTCCACGGGAAAGCATACAAGAGGGAGAAACCAAAAACGGAATTTAAGGAATGTGGGAGAAGAGATGAAGTCTACCTGGATATATGTCCTGCAGCAGCAACCGAATTAGGGACGAAGATGGAGCAATTATGAATCTCTTTCCCTGTTTTTTTTTTTTTTTTGGGTTTTCCCTACCCTTCTTTTGAGCGGGGGGGGGGGGGGGGGGGGGGGGGGTGGGGGAGCCCAAAGACGAGGGAAAAGCTGGCAGTTGAGAGAAAGAGGAAAAGGGACGGGAGAGAGATGAAGGAGGGGGAGAGTGGGGCGGAGATGAGAAGGCGAGAGAGAGGAGAAAAGGCGCAAACCGAAGAAAGAACAAAAAAAAAATGAGAAAAATAGCAAATGCAGAAATGGAGTTGGAGAAGAAAGAGAGTGTGAAGCAGGAATGGAGGGAATGATGAGTTTGCCAGGCGGATATAAAACAAAGAGTCATTTTGTTAAAATGCTAACAAGCCGTTTTGTTAGCCGATACTAACTCATATCTGAAATGGCTGAACTAGTAACCATCTTATAGACAAAAACATGACTACTGAAAATATTTCGATGAAACTAGAAAAATTAGGAAGAAAAATAGATGAATATCAAGAAAATCTAATAAATATAATAGAAGACAATAATAAACAATTAAGATCAATATTAGAACATCAAGGTAATGAAAAGCAAAAGATATATATTCAGATTTAGAACTCGCTAAGGATACAATTACCAAAATAATAGCGGATATAAAACAAAGAGAAATAGCAATGGGAAAAACAACTCCAAATTATAAGGAAATAGTATTACCAGTGGAAGATCTTAAGGAAATCATTATTAAACTTCAAAAAATAATAACTAAATTAGATAATAAAAGGAGCCTTACAATTGAAGATATAAAAGAATATTTGAATGAGCATAAATCAGGAAAATCTAGCCCATTAACTATCATGGCACCCTACAAACTTCTATGACTAGTATTGACGAACAAATTAATAAATTAAATGATTTACTAGCCGCAATTACTATCGAATCAGAACCAAAGATAGAAGAAAATATAGAAAACGATAAAATAGTTCTTGACTATAGTAGCAACGAAACCCCCTATAAAAATTACACAAATGCAAATTACACGAAAACTGAAACTGAGGATCAAGCTGAAACATCACGGAAGCGTGATTTTAATGACTATAAAGATGGTCAACTATTTTTTGATGAATACTTATATAAAAATTCATATACACCTCGCAAAGGGAGAGGATGGAGTAAAATACCTCAATCTTACATACCAAAATATTTCACCACTAGTTTTAACAGTCCTGATATATTAGATCTTGATTGTTGCGTCAATCCATTAAAAGAATTAGAAGACTGGAAAAATCGAACAGAATTACTAATACAAACTAATGAAGATCTAAAGAAATTACATCCTAATGAAATGTTTAATTTCTTAATATATAAAACAACTGGGGCAGTTTACATTATCTTAACAACATGGATATTCCTACTAAGACAATGTTATATGGAACAATGGATGCGACTAATACCTTTGAAAAAGTCTTAAATGCAATAACTCATGAATTCTTAGGACGACATCCTCGAGAAGATAAACCAAATACAACCGTAAGTCAACAAGCTATTTGGCATTTAACTAATCTTAGAATCTGCAACATGTGCTTCTTAGTAGGGTTGGCCATTCGGTTATCGGTTGCTGGTTAACCGGCCGGTTAAACCGATAACCGAAAAAACAATAGCTCGGGCGGTTGGCGGTAGAAGGATTGAGGTGGCCGGTTAACCGGCTAATCGAGGTGAATAACCTCCGGTTAAACCGACTAACCGGCGCTCTCACTCACCTCCTAAAACGACGCCGCGTCGCCGACCCTCTCCCTCACTCTCTCCCTGCCGCCAACGCCACCATCTCCGTCCCGCCTCCTCGAAGCCAGTTTTCGCTAGCCCTGTTGGCCGGCAAGACAAGAATCGATCCAATAGCCTCTGCAAATGAGACATCTTACCGAAAAGTCTCTCCGGCGTCATGTCTTGTATCGGGGTGGTGGCGGCGGCTCCTGGCTTGTCGCGCCCATCTCTTCCCCCCGCTGCCTCCGTCACATCTCCGAAAGATCTGGATCTTCGAGTCATTCCTGGAGCCCCACCACCATCGATGTACTCGTAAGCCCTAGGAGGCGGCGATCTGAAATCGCCTCTTCCTCCATACCTATCGATTTCGCCGTAAGAACTCACCCAGCCGCCGCCAGAGGCAGAGCCCTTTCTGTCGAACAAGACCGTCTCGAGCCGCTGATCGAGATACATGCAATTGCTCTTCAATCCTGTCCTACCTCGACCCCTCTAAATCCAATCACGCCAAGCTCAAGCAATTGCTCTTCAATTTGATCAAATCCCGCCGCGAATTCGTCATCCCCGAGTTCAATTCAGCCTTCACCGAGCTTTTCGAGGTGCTGGAGTACGATATCGCGACGAAAGGGAAAGCAGAGTTCGCCGACCCGAATGACCAGCCGCTTTCAATTTCCTCTCGCGCGCCTTCTTCGGCGTGAGGCCGATCGACACAGCGTTGGGGAAGGACGCGCCGACGGTGATCTCGAAGTGGGTTCTGTTCAATCTCGCCCCGATCTTCTCCGTCGGGCTGCCGAAGGAGGTCGAGGAAGCCACGCTCCACTCCGTCCGCCTCCCTTCCACGCTCGTACAGAAGGATTACAACCGCCTCTACGAGTTCTTCGGTTACTTCGGCTAACCGAGCAACTAACCGGTAACCGAAGGATTAGATCGGGCGGTTGTCGGTAGGCTTTCTCCCTGGCGCGGTTAACCGGTAACCGGCATTTTGGTTATCGGTTATAACCGAACTAACCGAAATGCCAGCCCTACTTCTTAGAACCATTTATTTGTGAATTCAGAACACACTATTATCAAGTCACCCCTTCGATAAGAAAAGAGCTAGATGAATTACTCTATGCTAAATTACCACCTAATGTCTCTGAAAAAGTCGAAGCCCTCTTTAATGAATCTTTGACAAAAGAAGAAATACCAGATACATTAGGAGGAAGAATATTAGTTTTACAAGAATGACATAAACGAGCTTGTAATAAGGAAAAACTAAAGAAACAAGCTAAAATTAAACTCTGTTGTGAACAAACAATGGACAGAGTTGGAAAGTATGGGTGTAATGATGATCGTAAGATCATTAAAACTCGAAAAAAATATAGAAATTATAAAAATGGAGAAAAATACCTTATAAAGAATATAGAAAAAATAGGTTCAAAAAACCAAATAAATATTTCAGAAATAGAAAACAGTTTAAACAAAAATCAAGACAACAAGAATACTGTCCTAAGGGAAAAACGAATTGTAGATGTTGGTTATGTAATGAAGAAGGACGCAAATAAATGTCCTAAGAAAAATACTAACACTAGAAAACAAGAAGTCCTTAGATTAGCTTACGATTGTGGTTTTGAACCAATCGAAGAAACAGATTTTGAACTTTCCGATATAGAAATTATTGAATATATTTCAACCTCAGAAACCTCTTCAGATGAGTTAGAAGAAGGTTTTAACTAAGGGCAATCCTAACGCAACATTTATTAAAATTGAAATAGAGAAGAAAAACTTTTTAGCATACATTGATATAGGGGCAACCTTATGTTATGTTTTGCCAAAAAATCAACCATAAAAAAATAGGATAAACTTGAAAAACCTTTAAAAATTATAGTGGCAGACAAATCTATCCATGAAATCTGGTATGTAAAACAATATGTACCAATAATCATTGAAAAACATATCTTCACAGCTAAAACAATTTATCAACATGACTCAGGACTAGATATAATAATAGGAAATAACTTTCTAAAATTATATCAACCATTTATTCAAAGGATTAAAACAATCAGCCTTAGATGTCCTAAAACAATAGACCAGGAATCTAAGATAATCACAACCAAAATAATCACAAAAAATGAAGTGCTAAAAATTGTACTTCAAAACCTCAAAAATAGACTAGAATATATACAGATTACCTATAGCATTCTAGAGGATACTTTAGACCAGGTGTGTAGTGAACATCCTTTAGATAAAGATAAAAATACCAATCAAGAACTTATCGAAATCAAAATAAAAGATCTTAAAATGGAAGTTAATGTCCCTAACAAAATTCAATATACTCAACGAGATGTAGAAGAATTCCAAAAGGAATGTTCAGAGTTAGCAGAAAAAGGTATAATACGAGAAAGTAAAAGTCCTCACAGTGCACCAGCCTTTTATGTAGAAAATAATAATGAAATCAAAAGAGGAAAAAGAAGAATGGTAATAAACTATAAAAAACTAAACGAACAAACAATAGGATATAGCTATAAACTACCTATGAAAGACTATATATTAGAAAGATTAAAAGGTCAAACGTGGTTTAGTAGTTTAGATGCTAAATCTGGATATTGGCAACTTCGTCTACATGAGAATACCAAACCTTTAACAGCCTTTTCGTGTCCACCACAAAAACATTACGAATGGAATGTTCTCCCATTTGGAATGAAACAAGCACCAGCTATTTACCAATGGTTTATGGATCATGTCTTAGAGGGTTTCCAATCGTTCTGTTAAGCGTACATTGATGATATTATCATTTTCACAAATCAATCAGAAGAAGATCATCGTGAAAAGATCTTGATAATTTTACAGAGAATAAAAGAAAAAGGTCTAATCATCTCTAAGAAGAAATCAAAACTTCTTCAAAGAGAAATTGAATATCTGGGTATGAAGATTAATAATTTTGGCGAAATTGAGTTGTCACCAAACACTAAAGAAAAAATCGATAAATTCCCAAACCAACTTGAAAATAGAAAACAAATTCAACGTTTTCTTGGGTGCTTAAATTATATCAACGAATAAGGATTTTTAAAAGATTTAGCAAAAGAAAGAAAACATTTACAGAAAAAGATTTCTGACAAAATCCCTTGGTCATGGAATGATCAAGATACAAAAATAGTTTTATTAATGAAGGAAAAATGTCAGCATTTACCAAAATTATATAAACCTTGTGAAAACGATTTTCTAATAATTCAAACGGATGCCTCTAAGGACACTTGGGCAGGGTGTATGTTAGCAATACAAAATGGCAAGGAATTATTACAAATGGACAATTTTGGTAATGTCAAAATAGACAATAATGAGGCTACTGTCTCTGGCCAAAAGCCTAAAGATTATCAGTCTTCGGACTATATTATTGAACTTTCAAGTTCTCAATCATCAATTCTTTTCAACAGTGATAAATATTCTAAGAAATTATGTAAATATATTTCTGGAACATTTACCACCACTGAACAGAACTATCCGATCCACGAATTAGAGACACTAGCCTGTCTCAGAACATTGAAAAAATGGAAGCTTGAATTATTATATACAAGGTTTGAACTTCAAACCGACTCTAAATATGTAACAGGTTTTTGGAGGTACAAGCTTCAGGCAGATTTCAACAAAGGAAGATTAATCAGGTGGCAGCAACAACTCCATTACTACAATCCTTATCTGAAGTATATCAAGTCCAGCAACAATCCATTCACAGACACACTGACTCGAGAATGGAAGGATTCATAAAAACCCTCATCAATCAACTAAAGCAGAAGCAGGAAAAGAGTGCAGCACTGGAACAACAACTTCTCCTTTGCAGGGGGAGGAAAAAGCAATAATTCAATCAATCGACGTCATTCAGCAACAGTTAAAAATCAACTACATCAACGTCAGTACATTAACAACTAGCTCCATTAGTGAAAAGCCATCAACACTCACCACAGAACCTGCTGAAAAAGAAAAGTGGACAGCAACATCCACCACTACCAGCAATAATATACAAAAGACGACACGATGGGCAGACATCGTTGAACAAGAAGAAAAAGAAACAAAAGATTCCCACTATGAAGAAGACGACAGAAAAGGCAGCAAATGGTATGTCATATTTAACGGACCATACCGAGGAGTATATCATAACTGGGCCATCGCTAGCCAGCACATCAATGGCAAACCAGTCCAACATCAATCATTTAAAACAAAAGAAACAGCCGACGAAGCATATAGACAATCATACAAGGTGATGGCAATGAAAGAACCAGTCAAGAATCAAGAGCAACAATCGCAGAAACTCGTCATGAAGATACCCAGTATCAAGAACATCCTAACCACCAAGGAAAAAGAAGAGCAATTAAAACCAATCTTTCAGAAGTTCATATCCAACTGGGATATGATAATCAACTATGAAGAAAAACACGCGACCATGGGTTTCTACCCCGTCAGTCGAGGAGGACCCAAAGCAGTAATCACAGAAGAAGCATCACCAGAACTCTCTTTTGAGTTCCATCAATATGGATTAATCGACACTATCTACACTACAACCATGAATTTATTTGAATACTTCCCACAAAGAATGAGGAACGTAATCAGAAGATATCTCGAGCTATTCGCCAAGGAAAGAGAAATATTTCTCAAGTATACAAGCAGCTACCCCGTATTCGATCAAGACAAACTATTGATCGGATCAAAGGCAGTTATCCTCATGGGAGTATCAAATCATGATTACCCTACCAGAGATGACCTACGAGACTATGAGAAGAAACCAGACTACCAAGTAAAGGGTCTTCTTGCAGTATGCAGAGCATTAACCAAAATTGAACAGGAAAGTCAGATTAAAGTCAATTACAGCAGCCCCGATGCCATCATCACCAGCAAAACAAGAGGAAACATGACCAAAGAAGAATGGGTAATCATAACAGATAAAATTAAGGAATTCACGGAAATTAATGGGAATCTATCAGCTCTTCCCATTCAAATCAAGAAACAATTATGCAATGAGCTTACTATCTATGAAGACCATCTCTGTGAGTGGTGTGCATCAACTGACGAAGAAATCAGTGGACCAGCAAACCAAGACTGACAAAAGCATGTGAAGAAAAAGGAATCAAACAAAAATGGAATAAAACGACAAGAAAAGGTTGGCCGACTCCTTTAAAAAAGTCGTGCATTATTGTATTTCATCAGCTTTCTTATCGCCTCATGCATTTTCTTTTGACGTGTTAGCTTTACGTCCCTGTTGCACAAACGTAAGCAATGACGTTCTTGTATCTCCTCTTAGCCCTATATAAGAGCAAGAGTTTTCAATGAAATAAGGCAGAACGAGTTTGGCCATAAAAATTGCCTGTTTACTCTCTCCCTCTAGCTGGCTAGTTGTAAGGCTTGGATCCACTGATCCTGGAGGCCACAATCATTCGATATAATCAAACGCACGGAAAGAAGCTACAATCATCAAGCGATCATCAAAAAGCTCAGAGTTTCATCAGAAAAACAAGTCAGGTATGTCTGATAATCCTACCTCAAGTTATTTTGACTATTTAAACAAAAACGATAATGAAAACTACTTCTTAGATTGTGTTATAGACATTAAGAAAATTAGAGAAAAAACTAATTTTACTATTTCAGAAACTCAGAACTTTATCACTAAGTCTTTTTTATCAAAGCTCTTTGATAGAGAAAACATTATTAAATACGGTAAAATGATATGTGAAGTAGTAGTCCCTATTGATCAAACTAAGGGTGATTTCCTAATCCAAGTAATACACAAAGAACAAATCAGAAAAAGATTAGCTAAACTAAGATCAGAAGAATGAAATAAAATAACTTATATTCATATTAGTACAATTCAAATTATATTAAAATCAACCATGAAAATAGGAATTGATGCACCCATGGAACTAGAAATTCGTGATGATAGGCTCCTAAACGAAGAAGAAAGTATTATTGCTAAAGGAACAGGAAATTTAGGAGTATGAATAATTAAATTTGACATTAACCTACAACAAGGATTAAGCCTGGCATATGGTAATCTTGACTCTTCTATCATTATAAAATACGAATTAAAAATAGAAAATTTTATGAAAGAAAATAGCAAACCATTTTCAGTAACTTATCAAATAAACTATGCACTAACAAATAGTCACCACAGCTTAACCTTCAAAAATAAAGAAGTAATTACTGTAGAAGATTTATTTAAACCTTTGATTCAACTAGATGCACCATTAAAGACTGTTAAAATAGAACCTAGTCGACCATCGATAACCCAAGATCAAAGACGATTAATTAAAACACAATCAGAGAGAATTAGGCATATCCCAGTAATTGAACAAAATTTAGAACAAGAAGAGATAACTAATAATCAAGTAAATAAATTAATTGAAGAGATAACCAATAATCAAGTAATAAATAAGCTAGAAAAATTGCAACATTCAATAGCAAATCTAGAGAATAAAATCTAAATATGCCTACTAACTATCATATAAATAAATTAATTGAAGGATTAGATGCTATAAATCTCACCTCAATAAATGATATCAGCACAGTCACACAAGAATTGACTTACTTTGCCTCAGAAGTTGTAGAAGAACAAATGAGTATTGGAATCACATAAACATTAGAAGAAACTATCTCTAAAATCGAATTAATTATTGATATAATAACTAGCTTAACCAAAATTAAACAAAGATTACTAAATCAGTAAGTAAAAGTAGAAAAACATGGTATGAGAGCCAATCAAACCGATCAACTACCCGAATTATTTAGTTCACAAAGACTTGGGTATGAGTTCATACACTTTTGGATATCAGTTAGTATATACTAACAAAAAGACCAGTTAGCAGATTAGCGGGTTGGACCGTTCGTGGGCCAGAAAAGGACTATGGTCCAATCTTTGTAATGGATATATTCTTGCTGGGCCCATTCAAGTCACTGAGTGACGAGTTAAAATGGAACACAATGGCCCAATGAAGTGCTTAGGCGGGAAACTCAGATCAGCTTCCCACCAAAAGGGGGTGAGAGAGAGAGAGCCTGCCTACGCGGGCGGGCCCACGCAGTCAGGCGTCGCGGTTTTACCCGGATCCGGGAAAACTTTCAGGAGTCGGGAGATTTTACTCTCAGTTCTTCCTGCACTCAGTTGCAGCCCCGGTGGTTAATTTCCTACATTCTGTTTCGATCCTTGCCCGTCTCTCTCACCGTCGCTGATCTAAGCATCACGCAGTCACTTACTTTCGGAATCGAGGGAAGGTGACTCTCCACCGAGAACGATTTTCGCCGCCTTCTCTTTCCCGCCCTTCCTTCCACTGTCGCCGTTCGTTTATTCGTTTCTCTCCTATTTTCGTCTTCGTTTTGGAGTTCCGACTGATGTTGGGTATGTTTTATTCGTAAGCTGTTGAAGCTTGTATAGTGCAATCCTCTGCAGGTGAAGGCAAGGTTCGAAGATGTTGTGGGTGGACAAGTACAGACCCAAAACCCTAGACAAAGTGATCGTTCATGAAGACATAGCCCAAAACCTCAAGAAACTAGTACTCGTTCACTACTCTTGCACGGTTCATTCAACTCTTTTTATTTTGTCCCTTGTTCGTATTGTTATTCTGACTTCTTACCCTCGAATTGCTTTTCAGGTAGCCGAGCAGGATTGCCCCCATTTGCTCTTCTATGGCCCTTCTGGGTCTGGGAAGAAAACTCTAATCATGGGTTTGCTCCGTCAAATATATGGCCCTGGTGTTGAAAAGGTGAAACATTTTACTATATCTTGTTTCCCTTATTGGGATTGAAATTATTGCATGTGCTCAGTAGGAGAACGAAGCAGTACAGTTCATTTTCCTACTCTGCTAATGGCTTGATATTTTTTAACGGCAGGTGAAGGTGGAGAATAGGACATGGAAAGTCGATGTAAGTGTAAATCGTTTATTTATACGTGGTTTTCGTTGTATTTTGGCTTGGTTTTCATGATGGTGATTGTACTGGTTTTGCTTATTATACGTGGATTTAACAACTAAAACATAACTTCGCTGTTGAAAATGTTAGATGTGACCACAGTAGGCTATCGAGAAAATGGGCATTCAATTTCTATCTCTGCCCACAGATGCACCCTTTCGCCTTTCGAGGTTTTCATTTCTTTCTCAGATTTTTCACCAATGTGTGTTCATTACCTTTTGGTTGGCAATCCATGGTGTTTCAGGCTGGTAATAGAACAATTGATCTCGAGTTGACTACATTATCAACTGCAAACCACGTGGAATTAAGTCCTAGTGATGCGGGCTTCCAGGATAGATATGTTGTGCAGGATGTTATCAAAGAGATGGCTCGGAATAGGCCAATTGACTCGAAAGGAAAGAAAACATTCAAAGGTAATTGATTTTTCCTGTCTCATGTGATTTGTGCATACCTTCTGTTTTGTTCTTTTTGGTACTGTTTTTTTGTTACTTTTGTCTACTTATAGACGTAGTCTTTTTGTGTAATTGAAGTGGCAAGTATAGAAGTGAGTGATAGGCATATACAACATACCGGATTTGGTTTCCTCGTGTTGTTTAACACAGTCGTTCATATATTATCTGAATTAGTGATCATTAGACTAGGGAGCATGTAGCTAATAATAGCAAAATGGAGTTGCTGGATCTCTGTTTGTGCTGAGGTATGTTCTTTTGTTTTCCATCAGTGGTAGTGCTTAATGAGGTTGACAAGCTTTCAAGAGAGGCCCAACATTCTCTACGAAGAACTATGGAGAAATATAGCACTTCCTGCCGGCTAATTCTCTGCTGTAACAGTTCTTCAAAGGTTACTGAAGCTATTCGTTCCCGTTGTCTGAATGTTCGAATAAATGCTCCTGCACAGGAACAGGTTGGAATTTTTCTTCTTCTTCAATGGTGTTAAACAGAACTGTCTATTCCTTGGCTGCTTTTTGCCTTAGTATTTTGCCTTCCGTGGAATTTATTATAACAGATTGTTAGGGTCTTGGACTTTATCGGGAAGAAAGAAGGGCTGGAAATTCCACCCGGATTTACTGCTCGTATAGCTGAAAAATCAAATCGAAGTTTAAGGAGAGCCATACTCTCATTCGAGACTTGTCGGGTTCAACAGTTAAGCTCTAGTTCTCTACACTATGTGTACTTTCATTCATTTAAGTCTGTTCTTTTGTATGCTAATATTTCTACCCCTCTCATGATCTAGGTACCCTTTCAAAAATAATCAAGAAATCTCTCCATTGGAGTGGGAAGAGTATGTTTCCACCATATCCTCTGACATAATGAAGGAGCAGAGTCCTAAAAGGTATGACAGAGAAAATGAACATTATGTCTGTAGCTTTCAAAGTTTTGGCTTCTCTTTCCCCTAGATTCTAATCATACAACCTCTTGAATTTGATAGATTGTTTGAGGTTCGAGGAAAGTTGTATGAACTACTTGTCAACTGTATTCCTCCTGAGATTTTGTTGAAGGTAGAGAAGTTTCCCCATATAATCTTTCCGTTCTCATTATTCTGAGTCCATCTAACGAATGATGTCCTTTTTGTTCTGAACAGAGGCTTCTATATGAGTTACTGAAGAAACTGGACGATGATTTGAAGCATGAGGTCTGTCATTGGGCTGCATATTATGTAAGTTCATCTGCTAATTCAACCAGAATATGTTTATACGGGTTATGGTGGTAGTTTTCTAGAGACACATTTGTCTGGATTTTATTTGATTTGTTATTGAACAGGAACATAGAATGCGATTGGGTCAGAAAGCCATATTTCATCTCGAAGGTAATTTCAGATCATTCATACATATTATTATTATACAAACAAACTGTGTGCCTCCTTTTTGTGGGTGATGAATTTGTGTTCTGTTTCGTTGTCCGTGCAGCATTTGTGGCGAAGTTTATGAGCATATACAAGTCTTTCCTGGTGTCGACATTGATGATGTGAAGTTTGCGTATGTTGTAATTTTCACATCCTCTCCTCACACTTAGTGCTTTCTATCGCCAAACATAAGGAGATTATCTATGTCCTTCCTTCCTTCCTTCCATGTGAGCTTTGTGTTTGCGTGGTTATTTCGTTCTTTAAAACAAGTTGTGCTCCAAGTTCTCCCTCGTGTTTTGGTTAAATCGAAAGCGTATGTGCTTAGTCCACCATTCTCATGCACAGTTATAGAGAGTGGTGAAGCAATATGGACTGATACAATGGCAAAAATAACCGTAACCGTGGATATCTGTCCGAATTCGGCCTAATCGGGTAGGATAAAACCCGAACGCAAAGGACATTTACTGGCTACGTGTAAAATCCGAACCCGAATATTATGAGTAATGGGTGGGCATGGGTTTCTCACTATCCAACTCGAACCCTCCCGATTATACATATGCATATGTATTTTGTCTAGAAATAATCATTATTTTTCTCTAACATATTTTATATTTAGCATATAAATATAATATTTTCATGAAGTTGTGTAGTTTTAATTAATTTTTTTCATTCTAGTGAATTATTATCATACTTTTCCTCTTACGTAATGTGATAATATGTGTGAATGTTAACATATTGGTTAGAGTTATGAAGAGAAATTATTACCCATGGATAACCGTGGATACCCGAAACCCGAACGAGTATGGACATGGTTTTGATTTTCTACCCGTTTCACATGTGAGTATGAGTATGGGTAAAACCCGAACTACTATGGGTAGGGTAACGAATATACACTATCCGTGCCCGACCTGACCCATTGCCATCCCTATACAGAGCCAGATCAAAAGCATATGGATGCCAAATTCGGGGTCGGACCGACCGTATATGGACAGGATAGGGTGGTAAAAGAGGAGGAACATAACCGGATGAAAGCTGCGTTCTTGGATTTGGCTTCGATTTCTTGTGTTTATTTTTGTTTTTGAGATTAGAAACAAAGTTTCGTACATTTTTCCTGGGAATGGATCAGGTCAGTAACCTTATGGTGAGTAACCCGTCCACATCAGTATGACATCAGCATCCTCTCTCTCATGAAAAACCTTTAATTTTCCCCTTCTTAATCTTTGACGGACGATTTCTCACTCATTTTAAGTCAAATTTTAATTTTTTTTGCACAGTTAGATTAGATTAATTGTGCTCTTCAAAATGATATCCACTCTGATATATTTTTCGAACAAAAAAATTAAAGTCATTTTTTACCAGTCTATACCTTATGGTATTGACTGGTATTGAAATAAAAGCATACCTATGGTTTGAAAAACGTACCATGGTGGTATGAACAAATCAAGACTGTAGGATGGTTGAATACATGATAGTAGAAGCATATTAATTGTCATTTACGACTTTTAACATTGTATACCACAAGATACCACCCCGTACCAGGGTGGTATTGTATGGTATTGTGTGGTATTTTTTGGTCCTGTAATTTGTTCACCCAGAAATTTGTAGATCCAATAGATCATGATGAACTCGTCCCTTCTGTGCAAACGTTTTCAAAAACGAATTAAAAACGAAGAAGATACCATATTGTATGCAGTTGGTACCGAGAGACCAGAATTTTTTTTCTCAAAAAATATTGAAAATTGATCTCATTTTGTAGAGCACGATGAACTCATTCCATCTGTGCAAAAAAAATTAAAATCCGAGTTAAAACGAAAAAGATATGAGTCAATTAAGAAAACTAGAAAAAATAAAAATGGTCTTTAATTCTCCATCCTTAGATCTGGATTTTCTAAATAAAAGGTCCAGATTTGGTTATTGATGGATGCATAACCCATGGTTATGCACCATATCTTGAGCCATTTTTCCTAGCCGGAACTTGTACGCAACACTTATATCATTCCGATCGGGATAAGATGGCCCGCCTCGCTGCGGGTCAGCATCTCGGGCTCTCTTTCTTTGTATACGACTATACGTTGTAATCTACAAATAAATACAAAGGAATGTCAATAAAAAAATTCTGTCACATCGGCCGCATAATTCATATGGGTATTAACGTATTTGTGCTTGGCCGAAAAAACGAATTTTTGTTGCTAAAATAATGGGAAAGATTAGTAGGGAATAGATAGAGAGAAAATAGACGGAATATTAGGAGAGTGGCCACGGAAGAGATAGAAATTAATATAATAAAATTCCATTGCTAAATGACATGATGAAAAACAAAAAGTAAGAAAATATTTGCAAAGAAAAATATTATTGAATAGTAATTTAAAATAAAGAAAAAAATGTAAACAAATGATGGATAAGAACATCAACATTCATGCAATTGCATTTGTGCTATTTATTGTCACCTTCATTATTTGTGCATATCATGGAAATAAGATAATAATATTGAATTAAGAAGCAAAACTTCATACTTTTTTATGATGGTGATAATGAATTGAAAAGCCGGGAAATGGCTACTAGAGTTTCAATACGTTTTGTCATGTCATATCAATTAAACATTAATACGTGCATTTCGTTTGGCAAATCCTCAATCGGGCCCTTCCTACTACATAGGCACTAATCGAAAGGAAGGTCCCAGTTCATCCCCGTTGCCCAGTTTGTTGGGGCGCTTCTGAAACTTTAGAACATTTGTTCCTTTATTGCCCGGTGGCACGTGCTCTGTGGGATTATTCGGGATTGGAGTATCTAGGGGAGGGATTGCCTTGGGAGACTTTTCCCTTTTTTCTGAAGAGGTTGTTGGCTTTGATTAATCAGCCTAGGCTGTTCATGGCAGTAGTAGCAGTCCTCTGGAGGATCTGGCGGTCTCGCAATTGGGTTGTCTTTGAGGGTAAACAGTTCAGTTTCCCTGCTTTGATGAGGCAGTTTAATCAACAGTATGATGAGTGGGTAAGTTTGCCTCCCAGTAGTAGTCCTTCGGCCCGGGTTCGGGCCTTGAACCAGCCTGGATTGACGGGAGCTGCTAGCCTGGTGTGTAGGTGGGATGGTGCTACCAGGAATGGGTCTCATTCGGCAGGTGGAGTGGTTATTCTCAATGCAGCTAGAGAGGTCATTCTGGCAAAGGGGATGCAGTTCCCTGTGCTGGATGACCCTATGGTAGTGGAACTGCTGGTGCTCCGAGAGGCTATCCTGTGGTGTAGGAACCTTGGGTTTGCGGATATCACTTTTGAGGGCGACGCTAACGTTATCATTGATAAAATCAACAGTGCGGACGTCAGGGACACTCGGATGGGTGCAGTGCTCGAAGAAGTAGTTCTTTATTTCAACACTCATTCAGGCTCTAGTATTCGATTTGTAGGTCGCGATAGCAATAGGGTAGCCCATTCTGTAGCTAGAAATGCCCTGTCTTTGTATCCGGCTATATGTCGTACATTTGATTTTCAGACATGCCTGAATTCCAGGATGTAACTATCGTTTGTGGATCAATACATGATTATCTTTTGTAAAAAAAAAAACAAACATTAATACGTGCATTGTTGGGGGCTTGGAGCTAAATATTTTGGAGATTACTATTTTTTGTGAAATCCTAACGGACGTTATGCTGGAAAAGTTAGTGGTATGAAATTTTTATATTAAAGTTATGGTTGAACTACGATTCAACTATTATGTACAAATAAATCGGCTTACCGTTTTGGGGTCGATATTTGATATTTTCGGTTTAATACCAGTACAATAGGTTTCTTAAATCATTCGTTTTTGCAGCAATTGGGACAAATTGCAGGTTTTTAGTAGCCAAGCTTCGATAAGAAGATGAAACGCTGCTGAAAGTAGTAGTTTCTATGATGAATTCCAATAAGATTTGGGTTTACAGATAAAATGCATGGACAACTTTGAAAATAAAAAGCACACAACGGGACAATCTAAAATTTCTCCTCTCCACCACGTAATTACCCCATAACGCGCCAAAGCTTATTGTCCCAGCCTTAAATTGCTTCATTCCTCTTTTTGTATTCCAAATGGATCAATTAGGCCCAATTAACTCATAATGATGAGACAATTTGGTATAATTGATCTATCACAATGTTCCATCCAATCACCCCTTAGAGAAAAGGGAAAATGCATAGAAAAGGAAATTAATATAGCTTTTTTTTTTTTTTGAAAATGAGTTCATTAAGATTATAAAACGGGCCAAGCCCAACCGGTAAAGATACAGATGGAAACAAGAGTAAACAGAATCAAGAGAAAAAGGCCCAAAAAAGAACTGGATACCCAATAGGACCCAGTCCAAGAACCCAAACATTGTCAAAGCCCCATCAACCCTAGTTGACCGTCCGCTTCCCTCTGGACGCCTCCACCGCCGCAGCCAACTCTCCACCACCACTTGAAATCGACAGCCGCGTCGACCCCCACCAGCCACCACCAACTCTCGTCAAAACGGTAGGAGAATCAACCAAACCCGAACTGGCAGGGAGAGGAAGAGGGCCTCCCATGCAACCCGCCCCGAGCCAGTCGCCATCAGCTTCCACCGTCCAAATACTGGGGAACCCATCAGGACGACCGACGACCGGTGAAGCAGCCAGAGGGAAGAAATCTTATGCTTTCAAAGCTCTCCAGACCGTGTCCTCGCCAAGGGCTCCATCTCCGAAATCCCAAGATCTGCAAGGGAAAACATGGAGGTAGACAAAGGAAAGAAGAGGAGAAAACAAGCCAGATCTGTGATAGATCTGGCCACCATTTTGCATCTTAGATTGGACACCTCTCCAGCTCTGAAACAACAGAACGGAGGACAAAAAACTCAACCCACTGAAGGGGAGGAACAGATCCCACCAAGGGGAAAGGAAAACCGACTAAGTCGAGCAAAACCCAAGCAAAGACAAGGCAGGAATAAAATTAAAGAGTTGGCAAAGGAAGGGAGAAAGCATAAAAAAGAACAGAGGGGGCGGAGGGCTGCCGCCGGTCGCCGGAAGAGTGCCGGCGGCACCCCCCATGGCTGCTTGGGAAGATGGGTTAGAGAGAAGGCAGAGGAAAAAATCAGGAGAGAGAAGATATTTGTATCTCTCTTGGGCCTTTATTCATCAATGGATCTCAAAGTTTGTTAAAAAAAAAAGAGCGAGAGAGATGAAAACTTGGGTTAGTACTTGGAAGGCCTATTTCTCAATCACTAATTATTTATGAAGTGAAATTTATTTCACTTCCATAAATAAATATATAAATAAAGGGTAATGTCTAATTTTTTATCCAAACCTTTTTCAGATTTTTTTATATTATCTAACCCTATTAAAATTCTATTAATTATCTAAATCTTTCATAATGCATTAAAATATTAGACATTTTTACGTTATTATTAATAATTGTGTAACTCTTTTCTTAGTTAAAATACTAAAATTTTAGAATGTTGACCTTCATATGTCTCTTCCAGGTCAGTATCATGTTGCCAAGTCAATATTACTAACAAAATTGCTAACTGGAAGTTAACATTTGGCTAATTCTTAGTATTTCGATAGGTTGGATAATATAAAGAATCTGAAATTTTTTTGGATAAAAAATAGACATTACCCATAAATAAATTCCATATGAATTAATAAAAGAAACTTACAGACTGTTTGGTACCAAATGAATCGAGAATTCATTTCATTGTAAAATGAATTGCCATGTAGAATTCATTGTCAAATGAAATCTTGTGTTTGGTATGTCATAATCAAATCGGTAAAAATAAAATGAATTGTCATGTAAAATTCATTGTTAAATGAATTCTTGTGTTTGGTATGTCATATGTATAAGTAATTTAGTTAATAAAAGAGAATAATTATGTGATTCTATTATAATTAGTAAATACTTGTGGAATTCATTTGGAAATTCCATCTCAATTCCTCAGAATTGCTATAACTAGTTCCAATTCCACAGAATTCAAAAATTAGAATTGAAAATGAATTTTTTAAAATATCAAACACATAAATATTTCATTTCAAAATGAATTTCTTAAAACTTATGGAATACATTTATATCAAACGGTATGTTAGATAGAGTCATCCTCAATTAATATTTGAGTGCTTTAGAGAAAACGTGCATCGAAGGAAATTTAGGCTTTATATAGAGTAATATAAATTCCAACCTAAATTTAGTTAAGCTATAATAAAACATGAATAATCAAACTAAAACGTTGACATTATTAATTTAGTTGAAGATGATACTAACTAATATGCATATGATAAAAAAAACAACGTCAGTCAAGGGGTCGGGCACCAACTAGTTGTCATATAAGGTAACCATCTTTAAATACTTGAAACAAGAGGTCAGGTGAGTGGCTTAGGATATGGTTACTGATCTATGAGTAACTAAATTTGAACTTTTAGATCTAAGTGGGTCTAGAAAATTCAGATATAAGGGTTGTCAATTAAAGACATTTTATTTTCCCTAGTTTTCTTAATCGGCTCTTATCTTCTTCGTTCTAACTCGGATTTCAATTTTTTTTTGCATAGATGGAACGAGTCGTTGTGCTCTACAAAATGAGATCAGTTTTCAATATATTTCGAGAAACTTTTTTTTGCCAACTACATACCCTATGGTAACTTCTTCGTTTTTAAGTCGTTTTTGAAAACGTTTGCTCAGAAGGAACGAGTTTATCATGATCTATTGGATCTATAAATTTCTGGGTGAAAAAAATACTGGATCAAAAATTACCATACTTTACCACTATGGTATGTGGATGGTAACTTGTAGTAAACAATGATGAAAGTCGTAAATGACAGTTAGTATACTCCTATTATTATGTATTCAACCTTCTTACCATATTGGTATGTTCATACTTCATACCATCATCGTACGTTTTCTTACCATATGGTATTAAATAGGAGCATACCATATGATAATGACTAGTAAAAAATTATTCAATTTTTTTTGTACTAAAAATATATCAAAGTGGATATCATTTTAAAGAACACATTTAATCTGATTTATCTGTGCAAAAAAAAAAATTAAATTTTGACTTAAAACGAGAGAGAAATCGTCCGTTAAATATTAGAGGGAATAGATAAACTCATAAAAGACTTTCCAAAAGAGAGAGGATACTGATGTCATGCTGATGTGGACAGGTTACTCATGGTTACTGACCATAGGTTTACTGACGTGATCCGTTCCCCAGGTGAGTTATGAATAGAAATTCTCAAATTAGAAACAAAGTTTCGCCTGTCTTTATAGGGAAAAAATTGAAAACGACCATTGTTTAAAAAAAAATACAAAACACCACCCATTCCCAAGAATTTCCAAATCTACCACTGTTTATTAAAATCGCTCCACTCAGGGGTGGTAAAATAGAAACTGCCCACCCAGGCGGCGGTTTACCATAGAACCGTCTGGTCGAAAAGCGGTTTGTCTATTGTAGAAAAAACGCTCTTCGAATGAGCGGTTTTCAAGGCTACCCTAGCACAAACCGCTTCCTCAGGGAGCGGTTAAATGTCATCATGGTAAAACGCTCCACAGGTAAGCAGTTTACCATGTCGACACATAAACCGCACCCCCCACCAGCGGTTTGTGCCTCGTCACTCGACATCCGACATGTCGGCATGTAGGAGGTTGCAGGGGTGGGGGCTGCATGCCAGACTAAAACCGCTCCCCCTGCGGTTTGTAGTGTAAAATTTGCCTGTAAAAGGCAGGTCCAGAAAGCTCAAAATCTTCACTCCACTCCACTCCTTCTTCTTCTTCTTCTTCTTCAAATTTTAGTTGTGCACCTTTAAATTGTTTAGTTTTTGCGATTAACTTTAATTCATAAGTTTGTTTTATATTACTTTTCATTATCATTTGTGATTTTTATGGTAGTAACTTAATTAGAGTTTTATTGCATATGACATTCCAAAGGTTCACCCTTGGGTTGCGGTGGAATGGTTAAAAGGAAGAGACCGAAAAGGGTTTAAGTTACGTGGGTGACAATTTTTATAAAATGAAGGTCCGTACGAGACCATCAAATGTGCACTGAGGTTACCTGCATGGATGTCACTAGAAGAGTTGATCGCATTTATTTAAATTATTGAAAATATTTAATACGATTAACAATTAAGTAATTTATTGTACAAACAAATAAATTACATTAACAAAATAAAAATTACAAGTGATGATAAATAATATGTACCTTGTGGTCGTTCCAAACGTCTCTTGAACGATGATTGTATGGATCGTATAAAATAGTCGGATCAATCGGTCCTTGAACAACATAATATCGTTGATTGTATATATCAACATCCGGCCCAACCTAAGATAGCATAACAACAACATAAATCAATTAGTATATAAATTAAATAAACCATTATAACAACAACAAAAATTGGGTAAAATGAGTACGTACCGCTTGATAATCATCATAGTAAATACCCTCTTCTTGGATAAAATCGGCAATTTTTTCAGGATCCGGACAGTGATTCGACGGTTTTTAGTGAAAACCAAAGAAAAGTTTTTTGAAGGCAGAACAGACTTAGCCGCAACCAACAAAACAACTACTTCCAAGGTTTTTGGGTGGGGAGGGGGATGGGTAGAGTGAGAAACTTAGAGAGAGAGAGAGAGAGAGAGGAGATTGGGATTTTGGTGTGCAGAAAATGAGAGAAAGGGGTGGGTTTACATAGGGAAGGAACCGCGTGCTGGAGGGGCGGTTTGGTCTTTTTACCCCATCAAAAACCGCGCCTCCAGCACACGGTTTACGTTTCCCAACGCGCAAACCGCGCCGGTTCATAAGTTGGTAATCGAGTACTAAGACATCAACAAAATACTAACGGAGTTAATGGAGTCTAACGGAGACTAACGACCGGTGACTAATGGTGAAACGAGTCGTAAAGTTAGTGGTGAATAAGAAAGTAAATTAATTCGGGTGACAAACTTGAAACATTTATGTAATTTGAGTGACCAAACGTGTAATTTAGCCATTCGGTTCGTGAGATCCCGACCGCGAAGTGGAGCACTTCGACCGCAAACTCTGGAAGGATTCGTCGCTGGGAGAACAGAGAGTTTCCCCACTCTCTTCGCAAGCAACGTTGATCCAGATAGGGTTGGCATTTCAGTTAGTTCGGTTATAACCGATAACCGAAATGCCGGTTACCGGTTAACCGAGACAGGAGAGGTGACTACTGCCAACCGCCCGAAGAAAAGCTTCGGTTAGCCGGCAACCGGCCGGTCGGTTGCTTGGTTAACCGAAGTAACCGCGGCTGGGCACTAGCTTTGATGAGGAATCAAAATTGGAAAAAGAGAGACAGATGCTAAATCAAAAGCCGCAAGCAATCCCTAACCCTTTTGCTTTAATTATGCATTAGATAGATTCCTGCCCATCATTTTGATCCCCTCCCTTTACATTCTCCCAATATAGCTCCTCCCTCCCTGCTAGCACTCTCCCCCTTCTCGATCTGCACCTCCATCTCCATTCTTCACTCTAATCATCAATTCGAAGAATGAAGTTCTGGCTCCTAAGACAAAATAAACTTACATAGTTTAATGGCTACAACAGAGGAGCACTGGTCGCCGTTTGGTAAATGGCGCCGACGAGCAGAGGAGGCAGGTTGCGGGCTCGCGGCGGCGGAAGGAATTGGATGGCTGGCGGGCGGCGGCGATGGCGGAGGGTCTCGACTCTCGCCGTCTCGCGATGGCAGGCGGCAGCGGCAGGGAGCAGCGGCAGTCGGGAGGCAGTGCCGGCAGGAGGCTCTCGGCTCCAGTCTCCACTCTCGGATCTCGGCCTCTCGCGATGCGCAGAAGAGATTGAGGGATTGAGGGTCTACAGTGCGGCGTCGATTAAGGTAGAGGCCCTAGGGAGAATCTCGGACACGGCGTCGTCGGTTTGCTTGAGGCCGGCTAGTTGTGCCGGTTAACCGGCACGACCAGTCTCGCTACCGCCAACCGCCCGCATATCATTTTTTTGGTTATTCGGTTAACCGGTAACTGCCGGTTACGGTTTAACCGGCCGGTTAACCGGCAATCGATAACCGAATGGCCAGCCCTAGATCCAGACTGAGGAAAAAGATCATGTCCGTGACACACAAGTTTGCGGCCGCGATCTTCTATCTTCAGGCCGCGAACTAGCTCGAGATTTTCAGCGCCTTTAAATAGTGGAGTTGCTGGAGAGAAAAAGGAGGGTCGCCTTATAGTTAGAAAGTTAGGGTTTTGGAGTGTTTTAGACAGGGAATCACCTTGGGAGAGCTTTATTGAAGATCCAATCAACCCAAGGAGCAAGGAGAAGGTGCAAGCAAGGAGAACAAGCTTGATTCTATCATTCCCCTCTTCTAGTTTGTGTTTTCTTCCTCTCTCTAATGACTTGAATCTCTAATGATTGTTTATGGAATATGAACCCGAGTTTATAGGTTGTGTATGAATGGGTTATGTATGAATGTGTCTGACTAGTTGATTTGAATGTCATTCTATCCTTGATTGTGTTTGGGTAAGTCGCACTAATCTACTCTATTAGGGTTAGACGGGTATACGTCATCAAGCCAATCGAGATAGATGTATGAATGGGGTCCTATAGTGGTCGAAGCGACCGAACCCCAGCTATAGGTAACCTTCCTAGAAAGAACCGCAAATGAAACCTCGGTGTGGACGGTGGATAGTGTCTATTGAAAGAAGCCATGAGCTTAATGCCACACATACGATAGTCTAGATCGAGGTGACTATATATGGGTTTAGGGGAGGCGTACTTGGTGGCGTGTGGATAACCACGAAAGCCCACAGAAAAGAGCTCACTCACCCCATTCGATTGACCCTACTTGACAACCATAGCTAGGAGGATTCGACCTTAGGCAACCATCTCACCTCTAGCGGTTTCCCAATCACTTGGTTGCTTGTTTAGGAGTAGGTTAAATTAGTTCAAACCCCTCATCAAACTTTCGACCCGATTATATAGTAGTTCGGAGCAAAGTAATAATAAACTTAGGGATCCCATGGAATACGACTGAGCCACTTGATTATAACCATATCTAGGCTATACTTGGCTTAGTTAGGAATGAATATAGAGTGTGCATTGACTTATAAATTTAAAGCTCGATCGCGCAATAGCAACCGATCATTAATCGCTAACAGCACGTTATTAACCATTTGTGACTTGGTACTCCAATAAGGAGTTTTGAGCTTACGCTAAACTACTCGCATTCTCCTTAGTGATTAACGGTTTCACCATTAACAGTAGGTTACCAATGTGGTTAACATTTAAACTGTTAACGACACAACATTTATCACCCTATTTTATATACCTCTCCCCATCACATTTACATGCATCAAGGTAGTTTCTTGTCGGCACAGACTAGATTTGTATTTTAGGCAATCAATCGATTAAAAAAATAAAACTCTTATATGATTTAATCTTGAATCAAATATCATAATGACTACAAATCATCCAACTCATATCTCGAACTAGATGAAGTTTAATTCGTACTTCAACAACAAATCGATATAGATATTAAAATACTTGTTTGATGAGTTTCACTTGCATTTCTCTAACAAGTGAGAGGGGACATGTACCAATAAACGAAAAAGGAAAAGAGGAAGAAACAAAGAAAGAGGGGTGAAGAATGGATGGATTAAATTAGGAATTTGTGATTATACTTTTGACTTTGCGGTAAGAGTGTATAGTAATAATACTATTATTGGTTTACCAAAACAGTAAATCAGGAGCGGGATTTAGGGATTTTGAAACATATGGGTAAGTTAAGAAGATTTTTTTTGTGTGTGAATAAGTGAAGAAGATTAATTCTATAAGAATAGTATTAATTAATTAAGTAAATATATGAAAAATCAGTAGTCATTTACGGTTTAGGGCTGTCACCAACGAGGCTCAAGAGTCGAAAGAGGCTGCTCGAGGTCGATGGAGGCATTTCGTAGCAAGGACGCGACGAGGGCGTCGCGAGAATAGGTGGGGGAGAATGTCACGCGTGGCGGGTGACATGGCGAGTGATGTGGCAGATCATGACCAAGTCAAGCACGTGTGGCGTTATGGAAGACCTAGTAGCATAGGATGCTCCTAGGATTCCCCATCATGAATATGAGCTTAATGGTGCACATAAAGAGCCACATTATGAGGTGGTATAATGGTGTGCATTATGGGGGAAACTTAATAGGGTGTAGTAATGGGGAGGGACCATTATGAGGGGCATTGATGCCTTGTATGAGGAGAGACCTATATAAGGATCCATCTCCCTCACTTGTAACTCATCCATCATTTTTGTGAGCAATACAACTATAGAGTTTCTCCCATCTTCTTGTGTCTTCTTCTTGTGAGTTGAGTGAGTTTGAGAGCTTGTGAGAAGGCTGCCTAGCATCTCTAACGGAATTGAGAGCTAGGGCTGCACGACCAAGAGTAAGGCCGTGACAGTTAGTATCAGAGCCTGGTTCTGAAAGAAGAACCGGTGTCCTCATTCCCCAAGAAGGAATGTAAGAAAGAGCGAGAACCTCACCAAAGATGGCTGGATCAGAAGTCCATGAAGATGCGGAGAAGCAATGTGGAAGAGATCCCACTCCGGGCGCAATGTCAAAAGGTACGTCGAGCACTCGTGATCCTCTCAAGTCTCTAGAGAGGCGAGTCTCGAGGATGGAGGTGAAGCTTTCCGAAGATGTCACCGTCATGGAGGATTTGGGAGCTAACTTCACCCAAATCCAAGGCGATGTTCAAAGTGTGGCGGCTAGAGTGACGAGTTTGGAGGTTGGCAATGAAGGGCTTCGAGATGAGCTCATGGTCCTCATCAAAGACACCATCTCCACCGCCATGAACGATGCCATTGAGGTAATGAAGGAGGCGGTTGCTGCAGAGGTGACCACTTTGAAGGAGGAGGTTGCGGAGCTCAAAAGCGAGGTGATGCTTGTGAAGAGGGCCATGGCTAACGGGCCTGCCATTGCACAACCTGCCTCAAACATGGAGATTCCAAGACCAAAGAGCTTTCAAGGGTCAAGGAATGCAAAGGAGTTAGAGAACTTCCTATGGAGCTTGGAGCAATACTTTGGAGCTTCGGGTATTCGAGATGAGAATACCAAGGTAAAAACTGCACCTCTTTACTTGAGTGATGTTGCTATGCTGTGGTGGAGAAGGACCCAAGGCGATATCAATAGAGGGACGTGCGTGATGGAGTCATGGGATGACTTCAAGAGGGAGATCAAGAGACAATTCTACCCAGAGAATGTTGAGTTTGAAGCCCGATCGAGACTAAGGAGGCTTGCTCACGAAGGAGAGATTCGAGGGTATGTGAAGGAGTTTTCTGAATTGTTGCTCGAGATCCCTGACTACACCGACAAGGAGGCTATGTTCACCTTCCTTAACGGCCTCCAACCATGGGCGAAGTTGGAGCTACAACGGCGAGGCGTGCAAAGTCTTGCCGAGGAAATGGCGATTGCCGAGTCCCTAGTCGAGTACCATGAGCCGGAGGAACGTGTGGAGTTTGGAGGCAATGGAGGTGGACGCGACTATGACAGAGACACACGAAGGCGTGGTAGACTGGACCAAGGAGGTAGTCATAAGGTTGAGAAACCCCTTACTTGCTTTCTTTGTGATGGTCCGCATCGTGTGAGAAATTGCCCAAGAAAGCACAAGTTATCGGCAATGAAGGCCGTACTAGCAGAGTGCTCGAGCTCGGAAGAGGAAGCGGAGGCGACTCCAAGAGTGGAGCCCTATGTCGCGAAGATTGGTTGCATGAAGAGATTGAGCGCCATTAAGCTGAAGGAAGAGCCTCCCCATCCCGAGCAACACGGCCAATGCTTCGTAGAGGCAAAGCTCAACCAAAGAAAGACAAAAGCCTTGGTTGATACCAGGGCAAGCTGCAACCTTCTCGACGTAGATGAAGTGCAGAGGCTAGGCATCACGTGCGAGAAGAAGCAAAGAGGGTGGATGAAGGCTACCAACTCAAGGGCCACAATAACTCAGGGAGTAGCGCGCCAGGTGCCACTCAAGCTTGGAGGATGGACCGAGGTGGCGGACTTTGAGGTTGTGTCGTTGGATAACTATCAGGTCATCATTGGCATGGAGTTCATGGTGCGGGAGAAAGCTTTCCCGATCCCTTACGCCAATAGATTCTGCATCAATGTCGGAGCAAGATCGGTTCCCATGAAAAGAGAGCAACTTGAGTCAAACAAGAGGTGTTTGGCAAGGCAAGAGCAGCGAGAAGTGGCAATGATGGTGGAGGCAGCGGCTCACTCAAAGACTCGTTGGAAAAGGACGAGAAGGAGGAGTGCACAACATCGTGGAGCCATGAGAGACGGGGATGGATCATCTTCGACTTGCCAAGAGAAGCAAGGAAAGGCCACCATTATCGAGAAGGCGGGACACTCGAAGACGCGATGGAGAAGACCGCGGATGAGTGCGCAACATCATGGGAGCACAAGGCTCGAGAGCGAGCCAAATCCATCCTTGGTTTGGAGGAAGGTGCAACGAGACCTTGCAAGCAATGAAGCTAAGGCAAGGGAGGCGTCTGCCAAAGAGCCACGACGAGGGCGTCGTCGATTGAGTGGAGGAGAATGTCACCAACGAGGCTCAAGAGTCGAAAGAGGCTTCTCGAGGTCGATGGAGGCATTTCGTAGCAAGGACACGACGATGGCGTCGCGAGAATAGGTGGGAGAGAATGTCACGCGTGGTGGGTGACATGGCGAGTAATGTGGCAGATCATGACCAAGTCAAGCACGTGTGGCGTTATGGAAAACCTAGTAGCATAGGATGCTCCTAGGATTCCCCATCTTGAATATGAGATTAATGGTGCACATAAAGAGCCACATTATGAGGTGGTATAATGGTGTGCATTATGGGGAAAACTTAATAGGGTGTAGTAATGGGGAGGGACCATTATGAGGGGCATTGATGCCTTGTACGAGGAGAGGCCTATATAAGGATCCATCTCCCTCACTTGTAACTCATCCATCATTTTTGTGAGCAATACAACTATAGAGTTTCTCTCATCTTCTTGTGTCTTCTTCTTGCGAGTTGAGTGAGTTTGAGAGCTTGTGAGAAGACTGCCTAGCATCTCTAACGGAATTGAGAGCTAGGGTCGCACGACCAAGAGTAAGGCCGTGACAGGGCCCGCTAGAAGGGTGTTTGCTCTTTCTTTTTCATCATTATTTTGATCAGCATTACGCTTGGAGGCACACCCGGCGAGGGCCGGCCGCTTAGTGGACCTGGCCCAATCTCCACCACCTCTGCTACATTCTCTTTCTTGTATTTGTAATATTTTTCCATTTATTGTGTTCTGACCAAGTATAGTAGTCAGAGCATTATTTATCTATTCAGGAGCGGCTGTATCTGGTAATTAATTAACCTTTTGCCACTGATAAAAAAAAAGAAAAGGAAAAAGGCAAGAAAGAAAGAAAGAATTTTCTAAAAAAAATACTAGAAAAGGCATATTATTGGATAAAAGGGGGCGAGGGTTTTTTTCTTTTTTTCTTCTCAAACGATATATAAAAGGAGAGGCGTAGAGGCGCCGGAAAGCGGGTCCTCCTATCTCATAAGACTCTGATTAGCTCTCTTCCTAGCGCTGCTCTGGCTGCGCGGCCTCCACTGAGTCCTATCTGTACTGGGCGTTTCCATTGACAAGTTTGAAGTCTGCCTTGCCTTCTCTTCCCCTTATCAACTAGCTTGTGCCCGGCCAGTTGGCCGAAATATTTCGATTTTTAATTATAATTTTATTTACATTTGGTTTTATCGAATCAATATTTAAGATTGTGTGACTTTGTTTATGTTGTTAATAATAGTTGTTGTAGTAGTCACTTGGTAGTTGGTACAAAATGAGCATAAATACTCATACACAATGTGGCATGAGAAAACCACATATGTTGAGTGATTATGAAAAGAATCATAGCAGTGAAATAAAACTTAAGTGAAGATAAATTTAGCATTGTTCGTGAATGCTTAAAAGGTGAAAATAAAGGTATTTTATGAGCAATGATAATGATATTAAACAAATATAATTTGAATATGTTCCACTTCTGGCTAATTATATAACACAATTGAAAGCTCTTCGAGTTAAACACAAAGACTTGGTTACTTTCACGCATGTACATAACTTAAGTACAACATCAATGTCATCTATAATAGCAAACTTCCTTTTGGAGGGTGTGGTAATTGTTACGACATGTCGACATCTTCACATCATCTTGCTCGGTAGACAATAGTAGTTGTCGCAACAGTTAAGTTTTGTGACATTGAGAGTGAAGTAGTTGTGATTAGAGATTAGAGAGAGGACTGGACACTCCTTAATTTGTTTGTCTCATCCTAAAGTGGTTAAACATATGGAAATTTAAACAAAAACTATATTAGAATTATATAAATATGAAAGATACATAAGAAGACAACATAACCTTGCTAGACACATATTCATCATTATATCCTATCTTTAAACATGTAATGGAAACCACTAAATCAGTTCAAATAGTTTTTAGCATAATAACACATTACCAAGAAGTTAATTTGATAAATCACCAAATTCTTTTCCATAAACAACATTGAAGTCAATTGACTAATCCCTTGATACAAACTTGTTAGTGCCCTTCAGCAATATATATATATATGGTGGCTACTTCGGTGCACTCACTTTTTTAGGTGCACTCAGTTCACCCAACTTTAAAAGCGTCCATAATACATCAATTTTGAACTTTAATTACTACTCTCAATATAATATGATGATATGACATAGAATCATAACAAATCAATCCATTACCCTAACCTCTTAACCTTCAATTTTGAATCCCAACCCAAAATCCCAAATTATAAACCTAAACCCTAACCCTAAATCCTTAAATCCTAAATCCTCCGAATTAAAGTAAATTTTGAATGAACTTTTTTCAAATTCATGTGCTTCTTGTTCATAATATCATAAGCAACAATTGATACCGTATTGACATGAATCGCATGGTCAGAATGACAATTATGAGGTGGGTGCACCGAATACGCCACCATATATATATATATATTAACATTAGGATATCTATAAAACACAAACTGGAAAAATTTAGAACTACAAACGCAAGAAGTACCAATTATATTAAATAGAATTTTCTTTTGTGGGGTTGGTTTACCATCTTGGATTGCTTACTTGATGCGAAGGTTGTCGAAGAGATTTAACCATTTTTTCGGTTTCGCAAGTGCTATGGTATAAATGTGATATTAGTATATGGTATAATATTTATTATTGAACTTCTTCAAACAACTCAAGTTATGTAACCAAGAGGTTTACTGTTCAAATCTCAGTAACTTCATTGAAGCACACGATGTGTGATACCGTGCAAACTTCAAGCCTAAATAAGTGGTTTTCAGTGTCATTTGGTGTTGGTTATTGACTTTAATCTCCAACTAACTTCTACTGATTATGGGCTTTTGTGAATAAGCGTTGATGGGCCCTAGATCATTGGCTAGAATTCACAGCACGCAGCTAGGTATTTATCGTTTTTTGAGGCAAAAAATGCAGTTTGTGGAGGTACATTTCGGGCCAGAATAAATTATTCATACATGTCTTATGGGCTTTATAGTTGGGCCTAATAGAAGGCTTAATGAGGCCGGGAAGACGGAGTCTATTATGGCCACACTGATGCATTTGGGCGGGAATCCGAGGAATTTAGGGTATAAATAGACGATTCTAACCCCGACAAAAATTAAGGAGAGAGCAGCATTTTTTGAACGGTGAAAAAGTTGTAAAACTCCACCATTAATTATTCTTTAGATTTAGACTAGTGTGGCCCCCGGCCATTTGGCCGGAGGAAGGTGAGGTATGAAATTTGATAATGTAATATGGTGTATAACTTATTGTTGTATAATTTTTTTTTTTTGAAACACGTGATAAAAATAGTGAATTTTAGCAGGAAAAAGACATGAATGATGCAACGAATAAAAAATCGGCCTTATGAACCAAAATCAAGTACCTGTTACATTGTGAAACAATATTGTTTCTGGTAATATGATGAGGTGGAGTAAGTTTTATAGAAACCAAATTCCAGAAAATCGGAAAAAAAATCGCTTATCCCGTCGGTTTTCGGGAAATGAGCATCTCACAATCGTTGCTAGCTTTTACTCGGCCCATTGGCCGATTAATTTGCTTTATAAAACTTTCATCTTGTCGTCATTGTGTTTTCCAGTTTTTGTCAGGCCATGATAAAATCTAAGAAAATCAAGAACGAACAACACGATTTGGGATAGGAACCGCAGTTGTTGTATCCCTAGAAAATGGTGGTAAACACAGACTCACTTGCCAAACTGGTTTGGATTGAGATTTTTATCGGGTATCAGGGAACCATGTGATTATAAATTAGACTTGATCAAAACGGGCCAAAACTTGAAATTCAGCCTGTTTGACCGACCCATGCCAAATTCTAATTAGTCTTTAGTTTTAAACTTTCTATTTGAATATAAAAAATAGTGAAGGAAAAGTGATGACTGCAATTCGCCATTTGCACATCACTTCTTCGTGAATAAAACCATAGAAATTCAAAAGGAACTGAAAATGTTTAGGATCGTTTTAATGTTTAAATTAACCAAGTAAATCTTTCTGTTTAGTTTTGTACTTACAAATACCAAACGATTCCCTATAAAATACACTATAATTTTTTGGGAAACACCTCATAAAAATAGTGAATTTTAGCAGGAAAGAGACATGAATGATGCAACGAATCAAAAATCGGCCTTATGAACCAAAATCAAGTACCTGTTACCTTGTGAAACAATATTATTTCTGGTAATATGATGAGGTGGAGTAAGTTTTATAGAAACCAAATTCCAGAAAATCGAATAAAAAATCGCCTATCCCGTCGGTTTTCGGGAAATGAGCATCTCACAATCGTTGCTAGCTTTTACTCGGCCCGTTGGCCAATTAATTTGCTTTATAAAACTTTCATCTTGTCCTCATTGTGTTTTCCAGTTTTTTTCAGACCATGATAAAATCTAAGAAAATCAAGAACGAACAACACGATTTGGGATTAGGAACCGCAGTTGTTGTATCCCTAGAAAATGGTGGTAAACACAGACTGACTTGCCAAACTGGTTTGGATTGAGATTTTTATCGGGTATCAAGGAACCATGTGATTATAAATTAGAATTGATCAAAACGGGCCAAAACTTGAAATTCAGCCTGTTTGACCGACCCATGCCAAATTCTAATTAGTCTTTACTTTTAAACTTTCTATTTGAAAATAAAAAATAGTGAAAGAAAAGAGATGACTGCAATTCGCCATTTGCACATCACTTATTCGGGAATAAAACCATAGAAATTCAAAAGGAACTGAAAATGTTTAAGATCGTTTTAATGTTTAAAATAACCAAATAAATCTTTCTGTTTAGTTTTTTACTTACAAATACCAAACAATTTCCTATAAAATACACTATAATTTTTTGCGAAACACCTGATAAAAATAGTGAATTTTAGCAGGAAAGAGACATGAATGATGCAACGAATCAAAAATCGGCCTTATGAACCAAAATCAAGTACCTGTTACCTTGTGAAACAATATTGTTTCTGGTAATATGATAAGGTGGAGTAAGTTTTATAGAAACCAAATTCCAGAAAATCGAATAAAAAATCACCTATCCCGTCGGTTTTCGGGAAATTAGCATCTCACAATCGTTGCTAGCTTTTACTCCGCCCGTTGGCCGATTAATTTTCTTTATAAAACTTTCATCTTGTCGTCATTGTGTTTTCCAGTTTTTGTCAGGCCATGATAAAATCTAAGACAATCAAGAACGAACAACACGATTTGGGATAGGAACCGCAGTTGTTGTATCCCTACAAAATGGTGGTAAACACGGACTCACCTGCCAAACTGGTTTGAATTGAGATTTTTATCGGGTATCGGGGAACAATGTGATTATAAATTAGACTTGATCAAAACGGGCCAAAACTTGAAATTCAGCCTGTTTGACCGACTCATGCCAAATTCTAATTATTTACTTTTAAACTTTCTATTTTAAAATAAAAAATAGTGAAAGAAAAGAGATGACTGCAATTCGCCATTTGCACATCTCTTATTTGGGAATAAAATCATAGAAATTCAAAAGCAACTGAAATGTTTAGGATCGTTTTAATGTTTAAAATAACCAAATAGATCTTTCTGTTTAATTTTTTACTTACAAATACCAAACAATTTCCTATAAAATACACTATAATTTTGTCATTATGATATTAAATAATTATATAATATATATTTGAATTGATAAAAATTGGACTAATTGGTTTGGTCAAGGTTGAACCATTGAATAACTTTAAAATATATTCTATTTTAGCCACTAAGATATAAAATAATAGCATGATATATATTATGCCAGAGAAAATAGCTTGTTTTAGAATGGCAAACTAATGATGTTCATTTGTTTTACTTGATGGCCAAATCCCGTGTAGGTCAGCCGGTCAGGTCCATTCAACTATTTTATTTTATGGTCAGCGGTTAGCCCATTAGATACCATGCATTAGTTTATTGTTAATTGTTTTTAGCAATAAAAATGAGTATTGTTTTTGTCTTTTCATAGATACTTTATCACCACGGAGAAATAAAAGAGTTTAAAGAAAAAAATTGACACTCCAGGACCCATTTAAATCCGCATGTGTACGGTAAGTTGGCCTGTTCCACAGGGAAAAGAGAAAAAAATTGACACTCCCTATTTTACCCTTCCTACAAATGCTCCTGGAGCAGGGAATTTGGAATGGGGGAAGGGTTTTTTCCTCCCTGCTATTGTATGTTTTTAATTTAAAAAGATACAACAAATGTACTTAGTGTGATTGGTTATGATCCTTGCTTTTCTTTAAAATGGTCATAATTTGAATTCCAGCACGTGTCTTTTTAATGAATAAAAAAAAGTAATTGTGAAGACCAAAATGTCCTTCCTACTTTCACTCTCGTTGCAGGAAATTTGAAATGGGGCTCCCGTTTGTGTATTATATTATGTGTAGATTTATATATATATATGGCTCATTAACAACTCTTACCTTGCTCACTGAATCCACCTGCTGCTGCAGCTTCATCCCCCCTCCCAACTCCCTCTGCTCCTCTCCGATAACACTCTCCTAGCGCTGCTTCTCGCTCCTAATTAGGGCGAAGATGGCGAAGAACATTAGCCTGGAGGAAATCAAGAACGACACCGTGGATCTGGTAATCAAATCGACCCCCTCCCTACTTTTTCCCCCGCACAAATATGTCTACCGTCCGAGATCTATGCGATTGCGTCTTGTTACTCAATTCTTCTGTACGTACGTGTTTCTCTAGTTTTGAGCGGTTCAATTTTATTCGGCGAGCCGAGAGTTGCGAGTTAAACCTGATCTCGCTGCCTAAATTTCCGCGTGCTATTTTGGCCCGCAAATTCCTTTTCGTCTTCCGTTTTGTTAGCACGTAATTACATCTGCAATCTCTGGTAGAAAACGAATAGGGTAGTAAAAGTGTTCAGTGGTTGCTGGAATTTTTTCCCGGTTTTTGTGTGTTTGTTCCCAATTCAATCGGCGATGCGAGTTGCGTTTGGTATTATTATTTTTTTCTGTTTACGGCGAGGAGTAGTGAAGAAAAAGAGACGGGAAGAGGAGCAGTCAACGATCAGCACAGGGCCCAGTAGCAGGGGTATTCCATTAGCCCAGCCCAACAAACTAGATCAACCATCGCGCGGTTGAAGGGTGCGATTGCGAAGGCAGCTATTGCCAAGTGGAATCGGGGGAGAAACAAAATCTTTATTCGCCGACAGCTCTCGCCGTTCGCTTCCCCTTCGGCCGAGTTTCGACGGAGTCTTCTTTCTTCCCAAGTTGGGTTTGGAATGATAGGGCTGATTTCATTAGTTTCTTTCCGTTTCCAATTTCTAATAAATCGACGCTGGAGTTCGTAATGATGACTGAAGCCTGAAGGTACTATTCAGAGCGAAACCATGTCGGAATTGTTGAATCAATTCAAATGCATTCTCGATTCCGATCCCCTCATGTAAGCACCGTCGTCAAATTCGATTCAGGAAGTTTCCCCTTCGTTCAATTTATTCGCTCAACCCTATGTTCAATTTTGTTTTTCGGCTGCTTTGGTGCTCCTTCGTGCTCAGCAACGAAGTAGGGTTCATTCACCCTTCGCAATTTGCGACATTAGAGAAAGATCCTGAAGCTGGTAGCTCACGATCGGAAGCCTCGGAAGCGCTGGATGGTGGAGATGGGAGCTTCTGGATTCGAGATCACAAACTGGGCATTTCCTCGGAGATTGTTCTCCTATTGTACAAGGCTGCCAGAGAACAATTCATGAATGCAATTGCAGAATACAGGAAACTCGACGGCCTATCTCTTCCTTCTGCTGAAGCTCTAGGAATTGTGGTTATGAAATGCAGCAAAGCACTTGTGTTGTTAAGCCCTGATTTCGGGACTGCTTGGAATTCCAGGTAACCAATTTGAAATTTTCTATATTTATACGGGTCTGTTTGATTTGAATCGTAATGATCCGGAAATGGTAGATTCGCACCTGTGTTTTAAACCCTCTAATTGCAGCTTGTTTATGCCCAATGTGCCCCTCTGTTCTTGTTTTTATTTTATTATTATAAATGACTGTTCTTGATGCAAATTGCAGAAAGTTAATAGTATCGAAGAAGACACAAGCGTCAATGTTCACTGACGAGCTCCGCTTGTCTGCCCTTGTCCTTTCGTATTCACCCAAGAGCGAGCAAGCATGGAGCCATAGGTAATATCTATGAAGTACTAGTTGATTCTCTTCCTGTGTTGTTGTTTATCTGCTGAACTGCATGAGTTGTTAACTTGTTCTATGCATTTTTCCTTCGGTTATTGGCAGGAGGTGGGTGATCAAGAATATGGCCAGAAATCGTACAACTTTGCAAGAGATTCTGAGGGAAGAATCTGACCTGGTGGAGAAGATAGCAGAGGTTTATATTAATTTCAAGAACTGCATAGTAGTGATTCGTGAAGGTTTAACAACTTATAATACTAAAGAAGCATACTATTTCCTTGACAATTGCATTACAAAATTTTAAAAATTGGAAAAGAAAAGGGAAAAAGAAAGCATCATCTTTGAAGTTTATTAATTTCATGTTTGATTGTTGGATCTTTCCAGACATGACTAGGTGTATGCATGTATTGTTAGACTTTCATTTTCACTCCATACTAGTGGCTTTGAACACAGCACTGGTTTACTAATTCTTGGGCGTGTGTGCTATTGACTGCTACTCTAAACTTTTTCTGCCTTGCTATCTATGCAGAGATCAAAGATGAACTATCGTGCATGGAATCATCGCTGCTGGTTGGTTTCTTACATGGATAGAGAACAGGTTCGTTTCTTAGATTGGGCATGTTTTGTTACCTATAACGTCATGACAACTTGGCCCTCATGTATGACTAGTATGGAAGAATTTCAGCCCACTGTCTTGAATTGGGCAGTTTTTTTTTCTTTCAACTTTCTCCTGGTTTTTATACATTCTCATTCTAAGAAACTTTTGTGGGTATTTTGGTTCATACCTGCTGATGCTTTTCAGTTTTCACAGTCATCTATGAGCTGCTTTATCTAGGTGTCCTGCCTGTCAGCTTAAGCAAAAATTGCTTCTCCAGGTGATTCAGGAACTGAAGAAATCCAAAACGTGGGCTGGGTTACATGTTGCTGATAATTCTTGCTTTCATTATCGCATGGTGAGTACAATCCTTGAATATTTAAAAGAGAGTTCATGAGAGAAAGCTATGTATAATTTTACGAGTATTCATTCCACGACATTCCTAGCATCTTGTCACAGTTTGAGTTATCACCAAATTGCAGCGGCTAATCATCAGAATTTTAGAGGATTGCTGCCGTAAGCAAGAAGAGGGGTCGTGTGATTCTTGTGTTGAAGTTTATTTGATCTGGCAGGTATAATGTCTGAACTTTCATATTCACCGCCATCATTTATTAATTCTTTTGTAATTAATCGAGATTGCACAATTTGTGAGTTAATAACTCTGATGCTGCTGTTTCTATCAGGAGGAGCTTGACTGGAATGAAGAATTAATAAAGCGTTATTTAGGAAGGGAGGTATTTTTCTCAAGCCCATTTAAAATATGTGAATATAGGGGATCTTGACAAACATGAAAATCGATTACTGCGTTCTGCAAATTAAAGTAGTTGTGGTGTTTCTGATCACTTTGTTTCCATTGTAACCTGAACTCAACTCAGAGTTTCCTCCAAAGCTAACGCCCACCCCAAATCCCTTTTTGTTCACAGGCTCTATGGCTCTACCGTCGCTTTCTCTCCTTATTATGGATAAGGCATTTCACAAGCGATGTCAACGACGTGTCTTCCCCACAAAAAAGCCAATCTAGCATCCAAGTGAACGTCAGTGTGTTTTTGGATGAGGAGTTGCTCCTCGTCAATTCATGCTCGGAAGGATGTGATGATGAGTTTGAAGATTTTGAAGAACAAGCAATTTGTTCAGCATCTTACATGTTATGGTTGACAAAGGTAACAAAATGTCTAGTTATAGTAGTTAATTGTGTTGGTTTCGTCAGGTGAACTAATTGCCTTGTGGGAATCTCTTTTGTACAGCAAATCCCTGAAACCCAGAAGTTAGAACTGAGAGAGAAGATAGAGAATGAGCGTCTGGACGCCATGTTGAAGTTGGTGTCCCTGAGAGGTCCTCCATTTGGGGCTATCTAAGATTAGTAAGTCTATTTGGCTGCCATGGACGCTGGAAGTGGATGGTATTAATGAGAGTTGTTATTTGCCATTTCCCGCCCACAGTTACGCAAAAAATGACCAGTATACCCCTAATAAATTTCTAAAACCTAAATTTCTAACCCTGCACTCCACTCTCCCTCCCGTATTCCTAGACCAGGCAAATTACAACTCGATCCGTTGACCCGACTCGAAACTGCTCGAAAACTAGTAATTTTTGTAACCCGAAATCTGAATAACCCGTACTCACATTCACAAGAGTAATACTATTACAAAAATATTTCTAATGTTTTTTCACATAAATTACACACCCATTGTGTCGACATGCTCCGATCTGCGCCCCGTGAAAAATTATCCGATCTGGACTCGATCTGCCATAATACGGGTATGAATATCGAGATACCTGTCCCGGACCTACCGTCATTTCTACTCGAGCGGCCATATTAATTAGGAAATAGAATTGGAATTTGGATGTGGGTTAAGGAGCAATTTTCGAAATTCCGATTCCCCCCATCTCTCATCTTCGGGATGGGATACGGTGACAACTAGGGCTGGAAGTTTGGTACCGGTATTTGGGATATACCGAATACCGTACTGAATTTGTCTATATTTGGTATTACCAAATACACATATTATTTTTGTGGGATTGAGATTGTGATTGAATTTCAATTGCTATTCGGTATTAGGGATTACGGGATTGGCATCAGTATATACCGAAATATCGATCAATATCGAAATATAAGCTAGTGTGTATTTTATCCTCTCAACTAGACTCTCTCATTCACTACTACACGACCATCAACCACCAAAAGTGTCATTTAATTATACATAGATCATTACATCACTATTTCACACTAGTATTAGTCGTCTCTCAACCTCAAATTCGTTAAATTAAAGATTACCAACTACAAGAACTTGAGATGTTAGCTCTAGGCAACTCAAGACTATTTGCTTAGTCTCTTTGCCCTAAATTAAACAATAAAAGCTAATTTATATATTTAATTATTAATTACAAAGGTAATTAATTATGTATTCGATAATACCGATTGGGATACCGAAATAATTTAGGGATTGGGATTGGGATACCGAAATTATTTAGGGATTGGGATATCGAAATTATTTAGGGATTGGGATTGAGATTGATTTTAGGGAGTAATTCGGTATTCGGGATTTCGATATTTGGTGTTGGGATACCGATACCGTACCGATTTCCACCCCTAGTGACAACCCCTTAGGGGGTTGTGAGTTTGACAACCCACCTCCTCACCATTGGATACGCCCTCTCTCCTGTCTCTTTCTTCTTTTTTTCAAATTGATGGTTAAGATTAAACGAATGGTATTTCTGGGATGGAAAAGATTTACCACACACAATCATTTACCCTCCCATATAAATTAAAAACAAAACCCTAACTCCTCCCACCCCCTCTCCCCCTCCTCCATCTCTCACGCAGCCATCCTCCACCGCCGCAACCTTCCACCGTTGGCGCGTCCTCCATCGTAGCAGCCCTCCACTGCCAGCCCCGCCACCCCTGTCTCCCGCAGCAGCCCTCTATCGTCGTGGTCTCCGCAATCCTTAGTTTTCCTCCACCCCATGCCGTCGCAACGTCCCCTCTGACCACCGCGACGCAATCATCCTCTCCCCGTCGGAGCCCTCTCGCCGTCGCGATGTCACCCTCTTCCCCTACCTCTCTCTCCCGTCATCGACTCCCCTTATATAGATCTGGTTTTTTAGTGGTACCATTTTTTTCTGGTAGCGTACTAGTGATAGTGGTACCTACCACTACCATCAGGTAGCTGGTAGTGGTAGCGTACCACTATCATCTGGTACTACTACCATCTGTTTTTTTGTGTTATTCTCTACTGGTACCACTACCAATGCTAGTGGTATGCTACCAGTGCTAGTGGTACGCTATCATTAGCATTGGTAGCGTACTACTAGTACATTTTTTAACGCACTGGTAGCATACCACTAGCACTGGTATATTCATTACCAGTAGACTAATGGATTGATACACTTTTTAACACACTGGTAAATTGCTGAAAATCCCTTACCCATACCCATTACTGTTTTCTGTGATAACAGGTCACCCATACATATTGCTGAAAATCCTGTTTTTCATGAAAGAACGGAGCATATAGAGATTGACATACATGTTACAAGGGAAAGGATTAAGACAGGTTTGATCAAGCTTGAGCATGTTAGCCCTGTCAATCAATTGGCAAATATATTCACTAAAGGGCTGGAGCAGGCGAGGCTTAAAGATCTGTTGTCCAAGTTGGGAGTCATTCTTCCTGCCACAACTTGAAGGGGAGTGACAGAGTTGATTGAAAATGGAATCCAGAATGCAAAAGGATTACTCTGCAAAAGAAAGGAGAAGAAGACATGAAACCTCTGGTGGAGAAATGTTTCAGGATAAGTCTCAGAGACTAGTCTGTTTAAGTGATGTTGCGCACCGTTTTACTCTAATTCTATATTAGCCGTTAAAGAACAGTATTATGTTTAAACCCAGCCAGTCGAAATGTGACACATGGCTTTTATCTGTAAACCGGATGACAAGCTGATATAAAAAGAAGTAGCGACTCACTGTTGTCTCTGTACATTTCAGCCATTTTTACCCTAATCCTTGAAACTCAACACCCTTTTCCTTCCGAACGCCGACGTTAGACCACCCTTTGCCTTCCAATTTTAGACGTCGGACCAGGCATCTAGGCCGAACGATGGGGAGATGACAATTCTGGGAATATGAAGACCATGCCGGGAAGACGCGCCACGAAGACGAGGAAGATCTAGATATGGATTTCTCTCTGAAGCTTCTCGTTGATCGGGAGGGAATCTGGGGGGGGGGGGGGGGGCGTCACTGGATTCGATTGGGAGGGATTTTGGGGAGTTATCGGTGGAGGGATTCTGGGGTTTGGGTTGCCGGCGAGGATTTATGGTCGGGTTGGTTTGTGGTCAACGGAGACACCCCGTTCTTTTTTCCAATTCCGGCGACCATTCCTCCAATTTTCGGCCAATATGTTTCTTCAGTTTTGGTCGTGCGTCAATTCCAAAATGTAAGGGGCAAAATCGTGATTTTGATTAAAAGGGTGGGCGGCAAATAGTAATTTGTTGGACGGAAAATAGCGATTCGGGTCTTAATTTGTTGGAATTGTCATTGAATTGAACCGTGTAAAGGTAACAAACTACAGTAACAAGTAATTGAATAGTTGCCCGTTTAAAAATGATCATGATTTCGCTCATCTTTGTAATTGGCTTTGTCAAAACATGAATGGGCGGCGTTGCAGTTACAGATGGAAGAATTTATGTTACCCTGAGGCCCATTCCTTTTCGTGTGGTAAGTACAAGGACTATCCCAGCAAAGCAGAACATGAGTCGAACACTGTAGTTTTGGGGGGTGACTGTAGAAGGGAAGGATATGTGCTTCAGCAATGTTCCCATGCTCAATCTCTTCTTCGACCTTTCATACATACCTACGACTGTATTTATTGAGAGAGTTACAATTTACAAACGAACGCAAAGCTCTCTGATAGACAGACAAACAATGTACTCAGGTCGACGATGGCCCCCCAGCCAGCCTGACCCGAACACATCAGATAAGTGTAGGGGGTGTTTGTTTGGCTCGGGTTCGGTTACTCGAACCAAAATTTGACAAAACCCAAAACCGAAATCACTGAAAATCGAACCCGAACCAGATAAGGACTTTCGGTTTCTGGTTACCCGAAACCCAAAAATTCCTTATCGGGTTCGGGTAAAGCAAAATCGAAACCCGAATACCTAAGAATACGGATTGAATGCTACTTCTTGGAGGTTTTCAGTCGAAACCCGAAAAACCGATAAGCAAAATCGAATCCAAAACTGAAAAACCTGAAACCCGAAACAAACTCGAACCCGAAAAACCGAAAAAGTTATCTAATTGGGTCGATTTTGGGTAAAACCAAAAAAATGAACCCGAATGGACACCCCTAGCCATCGGAGGCCTTGGACTAACAATTGGCAGCCATAAAGAATACTCTGTCACCCCCATGATGGCCGCGACCTGGCGGTAGCCTGGAGAAAAGTCCCAGTTGGGAAATATTTGCCTTTATAGACCTTAGCCAAAAGAGACTGTGGCTCAGACAGTATTTGCCACCCAATTTTAGCCAAAAAGCCTGATTGAAGTGCTCAAACCGGTGAAAACCCATGCCACCATCATGCTTATTGTTGGTGCACATATTTTTCCAGGACATCCACCTTACCCGGGAATGACCCCCCTTCAACACCCCACCAAAATCTAGCCACATGACTATCCAAGAGTCGATAGAGGGATAAGGGAAGCTTGAAGCAGGACATAACATGCAATGGTAAAGCCAAAGCGACTGATTTAATCAAGGTCTCTTTCGTGGCCCACAATAGTGTCCTCTACTTCCAACCCTGAAGCCGACTTAACAATTTCTTCTCCTGGGGCGCCGCAAAGCCCTCAGTGCAAAACACAAAGAGGAGTGAGGACAGAGAGTCCCCCTGCCGAAGACCACGAGACGAGATGAAGAACCCTGAAAGGGTACCATTCATAAGCACCAAAAACGATGCCGAGCGGAGGCACTAGGGGCGAAGCAACCTTAACCCCCTCCAACTTTCCATCAGAGATAGCTTGTTGAAGGAGCGCTGGAAAGCCCTCGGTGCAAAGCACAAAAAGGAGAGGGGACAGAGGGTCCCCCTGCCGATGACCACGAGACGGGGTGGAGAACCCTGAAAGGGTACCATTCATAAGCACCGAAAATGATGTTGAGCGGAGATACTCCTGGATCAAGCCACGCCAGGTCGAGTTAAAACCCATTTTTTTCAAAATCGCAAGTAGAAATGGCCATTCGACTCTATCATAGGCCTTTTCCATGTCAACCTTCAGAGCCATGTACCCCCTTCTTGCCTCACATTTTGATTTTTAAATAGTGCATTAACTCATGCCCGAAGGACATTCTCCACAGATAAACGCATTCTTCCCCTCCGAAATGATCTGAGGTAAATATTGGGATAGTCTCTCAGACACGGTTTTAGTTATAATCTTATACATAAACTGGCATAGGCTTATCGGCCTGAGCTGCCTCATGTCCTCGACAGTGTCTACTTTGGGGTTCAGAGTGAGCCATGTGTGATTAAAGCTGCAGAGCATCCTGCTCATGCTAAAAAAAGAACGGACAACATCAACCACTGAGGCACCCACAATATCCCAGAAAGACTTAAAAAATTTATCAGTGAACCCGTCAGATCTAAGGGCCTGTTTTGATCCCATGGAGAAAACCGTTATACGAATTTCATCAGGAAGGACCTCTGCCGTAAGGTTAGCATTCATCTCAGCCGTTACCTTGCAGTCAAGCGGCAGATCGGCAATCCTGGCATCCATGTTTAAAACTTGGTTCTCTGAGGTAAAGAGGTGTTGATAAAAGTTGGTAGCTATGTCAGCCTTCCAGGTACAAGGTTGCGTTTTCGACGACCCCGTGTGACCGTATGAAAATACGACGTATTTTTGTCGCCTTTCTTAAGCCAATGAACCCGCGATTTATGTTGCCACTAGACCTCATCTGCCTCCTATTGCCGACTCACTCAACTTCCAAAGATCTTACCTCATCCCAATTAATCGGGTGGCTAAGCTTGGCCCAATCAATTTCGGCTTGGTGGGTTTTAATATTTCTGAGAGAGTCCGTAGTACCAGCCTTGCTCCAATCATAGAGCAAATGTCATAGCTTTTTTAGCCTCTCCCAAAGTTGGTACATGGGGAACCCATGTACTTCCTCCAACCACACATAAGCTACCATAGCCTTGACCTCTAGATTGTCAGCCCATCGTGCATCAAAGCAGAACAATGGACGACTATCACGGACATAAGGTTTATAAAAAAGGATTAGAGTCCGATGATATGATCCTTGGTCCGTAAAGTGCTTAACAAGCGTGTCGGGGAAACTCTCCATCCAGGCATGGGAGCAAAGGGCCCATCCAACCGTTCACGAATACAGGCAATCCCCATCCTTTATTTGGTCTAGGTGAACTGGTCACCTTGATAGCCCGGATCATGGAGACCTAAGTCGTGGACAAAGTTCCTGAGAGCAAAGGATTGGGCTGCATTCCAGGGGTTACCACCATCATTTTCACTCTCATTCAACATTGAAATCCCCTAATACCACAAACGATATTTGGACTTCTTCACAAGTATGACGAAGAAGATCAAGTTGGTTACCGCGAGTTGCTTCATGGCAGCTTAAGTAAACACAAACTGCTACATAAGAAAGATCTTCGTCATTAATTCGAACAAAAATGAAAAAATTCAAATGATAAAACACCAAAGCATCAACTTCGGGGGACTAAGCTACAACTAAACCACCAGCAGTATCAATGGCATCAACAAAAAAAAAAAACAATGAGAAGAATCAAAACCTAACCCCCGCATCCTACAGGAAACTACTCGCCAGCTCGATCTCGTTTATGAAAGGAAGACAAGTTTTGGTTAATTGAAATGGACTAATCCTACAGCAGTCTGGAATGTGAGTGATGGTCCAATTCTCCTCACATTCCAGGCCATCAGCCTCATTTATCCGATTGGGGCCACTCAAGGCGGGCTTCCTACCTTTTCATCATTCGACTTTTCTTCAACAAATCGTTTCTTCGGCGTGGGACAATCTTTAACCTCTCCAACCACCTCCTGAAGAGCACACTTTTTTCCACCAGTATTTGAATCAAGGATATTTGTCCCATATTCATTCAACTTCCAGATCATCTCCCTTTCAGAGGCTTGTGGCGAAGCAGGTCTCTTCATAACTTCATGTCCCAACGCTGTAGGGACACGAATACCCTCTCCACCCATGTTAAGCAGCATGTCGTCGGATTCAAAAGCCGCCACCACCTGCCCCACACGGCTTCAGATGGTTCTGGAAACATCGATCTGAACCCTACTTGGGGCGCAAATCTTAATCTCAAAGCATTGCTCGTCACCCTCCGAGAGAGACTTCTCCGAGTCCGAGAGAGCTTGATCTTTCAGCTGGGCATTCTCCCAAGACCGCGATGGCGAATTCTGGCCAGGAGGCGTCGGGGCAACACCTAATGTCTCTCCCCATCCGCAATCACCATATCCTCCACCCGCGGAGTCGTTTCCTTCTCCAAATTGACAGATCGAGGCCGGACATTTTTCTTAGCCTGCTCCAGTTGAGGTTTGGAGCTCCTTAGCTGTCGGCGAGCGATCTGGGGAGGTTCCCATTCTTCCTGCCCTTATTCACCGAAACCAGGCCAGCTGCCCGCGGTTTCACATTTCCCTTCCCCTTGTCATGACAAATCGATTCCTGACGTTGCATGGCTGTCATGGGAGGCTTCAAGGGCGGGAGATCATCTTCAATAATTAACCTCCTACGTCGGGCCATGTCACGAGGGCTGTCAGAGTTAACTGGTTTCGCCTCCAACTCTTCCATCCCCTTCCCTAATTGCACAACATCCGACTTGTCCCTAGCAGTCCGAGACTACACCTGTTTGTCTCTTTCATGAAGCTGCACAAGCCTCTTCCCTGCATGGTGGGACACCCCATTCGAAGTATCCCTAGCCAACCGAAACAACATATGCTCGTCCCTTTCATGAGACTGCACAAGCTTTTTTCCTCGCAAGATGGGAACCCTGTACTCATCCAATACGAGAGGTCTTCCAATATTCCTTCTATGGCGTTGATCTGCGGAGACCCCGGCCTACGTGAATCTTGGGCAATTTCTTCAGGGGGAAGTCACATGGGCTTTTGCCCCGACTCGGCATCTCCTCTATAGTTTGCATGGAATGCGCAGGAACCTCCAGTTGCTTCATATGATGACGCACCCCACTTGACTCATCGGGATTGGCCAACCTGACCTCCTCTTTCTCGAGCACCTACCCAGGTCGAGATTTAGCATCCTTGTGCTCTCCGATGTCCTTGTTAACCCACACCGATTTTGATCCTCCACGATACGAAGGGATTTCATCCTCATCATCATAAATTCTTGTCCCCAACTTCTTGGTGGACATGTGCGGGCCAAATTTTTCCTTCCGCGTGGGAGAATCAAACGAGCAAACATTCATCATATGGCCGACTCGTCCACAATGGAAGCAAAAGATGGGCAAGTATTCATACTTTAGGTTAAGCCAAAAGCAACCTGTTTCATCACTAGCAGCCATTAGCTGCGATCTCAACGGCTTGGAAAAATCAATCAGGGCCCTGACCTTGACGAAGCATTGGTCAGTGTCCGTGCAGGCAAACACACTTGCTTCTAGGACATGGCCAATCGTGTTGTTCGCCATCTTTCTTCCAAACTGCTTCGTACATCAATCTTCCTTCATGCCCCACATTTGGACACGAAAGGGAGCTATGACGAGTTCATTAAATGTTCGCTTCGTGATGTTAGATGTCCATGCTCGAAGGTGGAGGATTTTATATTTTATCATCCAGGGTGTTCTTTTCAGCACCCAATTTTTGGATGCCTCACTTGGCAACACGAATTCAAATAAACCGTGCTTCACCACCATCACTCTAATCCTTCCTTTCCCCTACCAAGGGACATTCAATGAGTCCTTAAGCTCTACTGAGTCGTAATGTTGTTGTCCATAAACAGCCTTCCCAGCAAAGCACAAGAGCTTTGAAAACTCGCATGTTGGACCTCATCCAAAGATAATTGAATAACCTGGTCTTCTTGTACACGAGCCATTGCAGTCACCTGAAAACAATTACTTAAGTCGTTAGAACTCTGATGAAGCCCTTCATCAGAGTGCTGAGAGTCAAATGTTTATCTCTCTTCATGACTTATGGAATTAGGTAAATACAACGACAATGCTTTAAACAAAAGGAGGTCATTATTATTAGGTCGGGGTGACCCTATGTGGAAAGACAACTGCAAACCTAAATTGGACGACTACTGCATGTGGACGAGGCCGCTCTCTGTCGTCGACAAACACACTCTTTGTTTTTCTGGTTACAAGAGTATGTTGTTGAGGGGATGAGATTAAATAAGCCCAAGAGTCGAGCTGCCACCCAAATAGGAGATCGGAGGTTGGGGTTCGGTTACGGGAGGTACGTAAGGGATTAAGATTCCAACTTTGAATAAAAGTCTTTTTCTTAAAAACGATTGGAGGGGAGAGAATCGCACCGAATTCGGGCCCGAGATTAAGTGTCAGGATTCTCCGAACAACCGGATCCCCACTTCTCCTGCCGATATGCCTCGACGATCGTTTTTCCGGTCGTCACGAGAGGATTGACAATGGACCAACACCGGCCGATGTCGGAAGTTCAAAAACTTCAGCCAGACCCACACGTTTCTAGGGTTGACGTCACAAGGCTATTACTGTCGCTGCCGCTGGGGAGAACGTCCCCGACGAGAGGAGAGTGGTATGTTTCATCCTCTTCTCCTTCCAGGCTTGTCGAGGAGGGTAGCTTAGAACGCCACACCTCAATTTTCGATACCTTTGATCGTTTATTTTGCCAGGAGGCTAGCAATTGAGTTTCCTAGAAGCATACAAGCTTCCTTTTTTTCCTAGTGATCCAACATCTGGATCTTCGTTTTCTTTTCTTTTGGGAGCTATGAACACGATCCCATATTCCATTGCTAGGAGAGATCGACCATGGCACTCGCATCCCCAAATCAATATCCGATCCTTCATTGTGAACACTTACGACATTCCATCTGAGTCCACTAACACCTTGATTCTGCACTCTAACGTCAAACAACACGAGCACCGCCGCGGCCCGCGAGAAGACTCCGGCCAGCCAAGAAATAGAAACCAAAGAGAGAGGAGAGAGCGTTTCGTAACAAAAAAAATTGTTAGGATCTAAATTTCAGTAATTTACTTCACTAGTAAATTCACTAAGGGGTCGTTTGGAAGTTGTGATTGTAATAATTGTGTTTGTTGAATACATATATTGTGCACAATACAATGTTTGGAAATGCCAAAATGTAAAATCATGCATGCATTGTTTTAGGTAGGTCCCACCAATAATCACAAAAAATGATGCATTATACAATCTCAACTAAAAATTGTGATCGTTGCTTTTAGATTTGTGTCAAACTTTTTCTTTCCATTTATATCCCAATAGTTTTTGTCTTATACTAAAAATTGAGGGTAAATATTACATTTTCCCATAAAAGTAACTTTATGTAAATCAATGCATAAAATAGAATCTCAACAATCAAACAATGTATTAATGCATCCATTGTATCAATACATGCATTTACATTATGGTGATTCATTATAATGCAACGATTTAACATTAGCAACTTTAGTTAGCTAAATTACTCTTGGTATTCGCGCCAAGAGTATCCAATTTCGTGCTCCAAAATTCCCAATTCCCGCGTGTCACCACGATTCACTTATTAGGTTTATTTTCCCCAAATCAGTTTTGGGAGAACAAAAGAAAAGATTAAGGGCCACGAGATCAAAGCTCCATCGCGGCCGCAGTAGCCCGGGAGCGGATCGTATCAGTAACTGATGGGTCAGTAACCCATCAGTAATTCCTTCTCTGATCTCCATTGTCAGTCCACTTTTTCATTTAAATTAAATGCGGAAGGGCAGTAAGGTAAAATTGCACTTACACCTATTTTAATACTGACACTGACTTTTGACCGGACCACATCAGCACATCCTTCTCTCTCCTCGAAAAAGTTTTAATTTTTCTTCTCTTAATCTTTAACGGACGATTTCTCACTCGTTTTAAGTCGGAATTTAATTTTTTTTGCACAGTTAGATCAGATTAATTGTGCCCTTCAAAAAGATATCCACTTTGATATTTTTTGGACATAAAAAAATTTCCAGTAATTACCAGTCTATACCATATGGTATTGACTGGTATTAAATAAGGTCATACCACATGGTATGGTAATATCAATATATATTTCGTTACCACCCAATACCATATGGTATAGTGTGGTAATATCAATATATATTTCGTTATCACCCAATACCATATGGTATAGTGTGGTAATATCACACAATACCATATGGTATAGAGTGGTAATATCAATATATATATTTCGTTACCACGCAATACCATACATTACCATAGGGTATAGTGTGGTAATATCAATATATATTTCGTTACCACCCAATACCATATGGTATAGTGTGGTAATATCAATATATATTTCGTTACCACACAATACCATATGGTATAGTATGGTAATATCACACAATACCATATGGTATAGAGTGGTAATATCAATATATATTTCGTTACCATGCAATACCATACATTACCATAGGGTATAGTGTGGCAATATCAATATATATTTCGTTACCACCCAATACCATATGGTATAGAGTCATAATATCAATATATATTATCTAAAAGGAAAAAAAACAGAAGGAGGGAGAGAAAAAATCGTCTTCTGATGCCTCTCATTTCCTCTTCCTCAATCAAGAACACCAAAATGCCAAAAAAATGAGAAAGATCGGAATTGAGGCCAACGAGTTGATGAAGAGAAGAAATGCAAAGAAAGAGAGTGGCTACAATTTTTATTCGTCGATTGCTAGAGAAAAAAAATGAAGAAGGAAGAGAGCAGATTTAAATTTGAAAAGGAGATTGTGAAAGAAAAAGTAAGAGAGAAGGAATAGAGAAAGAGAAAAGATCTGGAAAGAGATTAAAAGAAAGGAAGAGAGAATGAAGAAAGTTAAGTTGCAGAGAAAATGCATTGTCTCTCTTTCATTGAAAAGTCAGCCATTGAAATGCAGAATGAATAAAAAAAATTAAAAATACAAAAACGGACAAAAATGCCCCTCCCCACCCCACATCCAGCCCAGCCACACGATTGCTCCATTCCCAATCCTACGGCTCCCGTGTGGTTACTGATGGGTCAGTAACCAGTAGTTACTGACCCTATCTTGGACCCAGTACTAGCCCGCCAGTCATGACCGCCGGCGCCGACTGGACAGTAAAGTAAGTGCAGCTTCTGCTTACTTTGCTGCTTAAACTTCAACCAATCAAAACTCAGGCAGGTAAGGTTTACTCTCATGTAATTTCTCTGGGATGGGATTAGGTGCTAACCTTTATAGGGGTTAGCACCGTGATAACTAGCAAAAAACGCTACTAAAAATAAAGAAATCACTACGGATTATTATAAAATCAATATAACATCTAAGCTAAATCACTACTAATTCAAACTAGTAGTAGTTTTTCCCTTGGTTATGACGGTGCTAACTATTGTACAATTAGCACCGTAACCGCTCCCAATTTCTCTCCATAAACCAAAAGGACGAATCTTTCTTACCCGCTGTTCAAAACCCAATTCCCGGAATTGCATGAACTGGTCGGCTTGCCGAGTGGGTTAAAACCCCCTCCTGCTTTAACTCCGCTCGTACTTTTCCCAGCCCGTCTTTGATTATTCGTGAATGGGATTGCCTGCGGCTTCTGTGAATTGGTTTTGCCGTAAATCGACATGGTAATTTCCACAAACAAGCTCCACAGCAGTACAATCGAACGAAGAGGATCTAACCCAACAACAGAGACCATCGATCATCACCAATGTATCTGAGATTCCCCTATGCTTGTCTACGAGAAAAGGAAGCTTTCTCAACCATCAACCATTGCTATTGCCTCTGAGATTACAACGCCTATGCATGTGTATAAGAGAAGGAAGCCTTCACAACCATTAACCAGCACCAATGTGTCTGAGGTTACAGCGCCTATGCATGTCAACAAAAGAAGGGAGCTTTCACAGCCATCAACCAGCACTGATGTATCTGAGATTACCGCGCCTGTGCTTTGCTACAAAAGAAGGAAGCTCTTAAAACGATCAACCATCACCGATGTATCTAACATTACAGCCCCTAAACTTGTCTACAAAAGAAGGAAGCTTTCCCACCCATCCCCTATGCTTGTCTACAATAGAAGAAAAGTGAAAAGGGGTAAGCACCCTTCCCCTTCTTCACTGAGTCACAGTGTGAATGATAGTTGCTCTTCGTCACCATCAAGATCGAATGTGGAGTTCAATTCGGTGTGGATGGATAAAGAAATGGAAGATGATACAGCTGAGTGCTCTTCTTCCTCTGCATCTGAGAGGGATATTTGCATTTCGATTCTTGTAGGGGCTCCTACGTCCGGAATGCGAATTGGTGGCATGGCTTGTAGGCGGTGCAGGGTTTGTTCTCGTTCAGATTCCACAAAAAGGATGCTGCTTTGTGATGATTGTGAGGCGGCATTTCACTTGTCTTGCATCAGTCCTAAAATAAGCGTAGTCCCTGTCGATGAGTGGTTTTGTTATTCCTGTTTGAAGCAGAAGAAACCAAAGGTGTGGAAGGAAGCGAGTGAATGTGCTTATACTATCCATGGAGTGAGTGGATCTTTGAGATCTGTGTCTGCAAGTGGATCGGGTCCTGTTGACATGATGCTGAGTGATGATGAGCCATATGCTAGCCGTGTTCGTGTTGGTAAAAGGTTTCAAGCTGAAGTTCCAGACTGGTCGGTGCAGTTTTGTAGAACGTATCATGTCTGATTTGTCAATCACAAGGGAAAGTGAGGCCATAACGCCTGTCCTATGTATGCAAGGGAACCATTTTTTTCTTCTTTTTTCACCTTTTTAACTGGAATTAAGCTAAGATAAATAGATTACCAGATATGATGGTTTAGAATGCATTAAATTTGTTGTTCGATTGCTTCAAGGGATATAAGTTTCTTGCGGTTTCCATGTTTCTTATGCACGTCCTGATGGAATGAGCATCAATTTCTACTGTACCTTTTTCTTTCTATGTTGCTTTTACATTTAGACCAGTTCTAGTTTTCCAGATTAGACAACATAACTCCAGTATCATCTGTTTAACCAAAGTCTTGCCAAGAGAATTCATAGTTCCATATATATGTAATGAATGTTAGCTGCAGAGATCACCACGAATTTGTTGAGTTTCCAGAAGGAATTCATTTATCTTCACTACTTCACTGGAGGACTGTAGTCTGGTCTCTAGCTGTTAAGTATTTCCTGTTAGCAGGATACTCCCAGTAAGCATTATACAACTCATACAGGACATCCATTTATATGGGATCTGAAGCATAGCAAGGATCCTGAACTTGCGCACTCGTTCTAATTGGCTTCCAAGCAGACAAGTCATATCTCTCGTGCTGGAGATGGTGCCAAGGAAAGGAACGTATGTGGGAAGTGGTGCAGGTAGTTCATGTTTTGTAGTATGCATACTTAGGTAAATGATATATAATTGATTAGTTTCATGTACATACATGTGATGACGGTCATAACAATGCTGATCAAAGCGCTGAAGTAAAAGAAAAATTGCAGTTGGAACTAATTTTGGATAGCCTGAGTGGATGCCTCCTGTAATATAGCTAGATTTGAAGTAACTACTCGTAGGCACATTCCTTGTGTAATCCAATCTCTAGCTCAAGGAAGCCATCATACTCTGATTGTGTGATCATATCTTGTTGGACGTATTCCTCATACAGTCATTTGCTCTACTGGCAGACTGCCAGACTCTGCAGATGTGCTTCTCTTATCTCTTTTGAACTGATATGAAGAAGTTTCTGCCGTAATTTAGGCTTTCATAGGTGTGCTTCAACAGATGAACTGCAGCTACTTTTCCATGCATTTAGATCAGTTACAAACAAAAGGAACTGGTAGTCCGGGTGTTGGACAAGATGGACATCAACAGCTTCTGATATTTCTGTTTCTTTGCTAGTCTTTTGAGTCTCGAGTGACTGAAAGGAATGTATTATGGCTATCACTTGTATAGCAACTTCCCCAAAAGTGAAAGTTTGAGTGTAACTTATCTGTTTATTGCAATAACTTGCACTTCGTTATATATAGAACATAAGAGTTACACAGCTTTAGAAAAAGGCTTGACAATGTATTTCATATTTGATGAGTTAAAAAATATCCTAAAAGACGGAATGCTAGGTAAATAAAATGTACAAGTGGTTAGTAGCCCATCTCAAACTGCTATACTCGCTGATAATTTGCTAAACTTTGTCAATTTCTCAATTAAAACCTTCGATGCCTAGATGCATATAGAGAAAAAGGTGCTCTCTGAAAGGCTTAACTGAGGTTTATCCAACTGTCGTAATCTTCTCCTTTAGCTCAGCAGTAGGCACATAAACCACCCTCTCTCGAAGAACAAGCGCCTTGGACCTCCTACGTTTGCTGATTGGTAGACTCCCCAGAAACTGCCTCATGTTCTCTAGGGTGTCTTTGGCTCTACAAAGTCCATCCATCTCACTCTCGGCAAGTTGATGAGACGGGGACTCCGAATATTTTGAGCAGGAATGCTTCTTCCCTGCACTTGATTTTTCTTCTAGCAGAGTCTTCAAGCTCGGATCATCACCCTTTTGGGCTTCCATCTGTGTGAAACAGGGAAAATGAATGTTCTTTCAATCGTTACACGAGAGACAAAACAAGGGTTATATAGCTGACAGCTTGATTCCAGTGGATTCTTGAATTATGATGTCCTAGATCACACTTGCTGAAATGCTTTTTCAGCAATACCTCACTATTTCCTGCCTGTGATTCAAGGGAAACTTCTTTTGGATCATTTTCCTTCAGCCCGCAATTAGATCTTAGCTTCTTCTTTGGGAATACATCTTTTGAAGTCCTTGTTGTCTGTAGCCCGACTTCAGTTACGGCATCTGAAACTTCAGCGCCTCCACTCTTATTTTCATTTTCTGTTGCTTCACCAGACAGCTTAGGGTTGGAATCACTGCACTGTTGGTGTTTTGTCCATTTGACACATAAAAGAATCACCAGTAAGCTCCAAGGTTTTGAGAACAGAAGGTACACCATAGGAAATCTGTTGGCAAAATCAAGCACCAACTCACCTTTCTGGATCTCAATGCCAGGTACCTTGCGTTCTTGAACCATTTGCTGACCTGGAATTGCAACTCCAAGCGGTGAAAATCAGTAGGGGGGAAGGAGTAAATAACAGTAAGAACTATTTAGTCCACTCAGTTGGGTATCACCATCAACGCCAATCCCATACATAACTTCAATGCATTGGTTTGTTCATACCTTTCCAGGTTCAAGACCTAGCTCTTCTGAAAGCTTATGTTTAACTGTTCCACAGGGAAGTTCATTTTCCTCAAAAACCCGCCTTAATTTCTGACAGAGAGTGCAAAATGTTGACATGACATTTCAGCAAAACTAAGAATAGAACCGGGGAAAAAGGCAACAAGGGACGGAATGTTGGTACCTCAACTGCACTATGTGGAATTCTCGATAGTGCCCTTCGAACTCGAGATTCTTTAGGAAGGTCCTTTTTTCCTTCCAAAGTCTCATCCTTTTTTGCTTGTTTTTTACGTTTGTAGAGAGTCATAAGCGTGCTTGCAGCATCTGACTCCTTTTCCTTCTTTTTCCTCTTGCTAGGACCCCAGTCTTCATCTTCACTGAGTTGGTCAGCTACAGGAGCATCTTTTCCAAACATTTCCTAATGCAAGCAGAAGTCCAAATGAATATGTTAGCAGGTAGAAAGTTTCAAGCCTTCTGGACTTTGTGGATATCCCGCTATTATATCTAAGGCAAAAGGATCTACCCGAATCTTTAAGATTTATAATACTCACGTCATACAATTTCCGATAATCAACGGCTCTGCGCTTTCTGCGGCTGCTCATGATTTCAACATCACTAGATTCATCAGAATCTAAGCTACTATATATTGACTGGTTTCTGAATTCTTTTCCCTCCACATCCCATCTTCTGGATCCAGAAACAGCTTCATCATCTGAAGACCAACCCAAGCTAGTGGAGCTGCTAGCAATATCCGACTCATCATTATCTGTTCCTGCACCATTCATGCTATTTTCCCTCCTTTCTGGATCATAATTTTCATCCTCAGAGTCATCCGAGGGCCATTCCTCTTCAAGAATTAAAATGTTCCCACCATCAGGAGCTGCTGCCTCTTCCTCGAAAAGATCCTACTTCAGCAAAAAAAAAATAAACCCCATATTTTAGTTAGAAAATACCCAAAGAAAGATATTTTATGGTCCTTCTGTCCACTCAAACAACCTGCCATTCGCAACTCGTTGAGTATTGGGTTCCAAGGTGTGCATTCATTGAGTCTATGATTTCCATTCTACATTCGCAGAACTTGCAGAACCATCCTTGGTCTCCAGGGGGTACTGCAAGAACTCGATAGAGCAAAAGCATTAGGAAGAAGCTCACTCCTTTTCTTTTTATCCAAATTCAAATCACAGTATACGACAATGGATAGATTACTGTTTTCGGTGTGAAGTGGAGGTTCAAGGCACATTTGATGGAAGGCACAATTGCATGTCCCATCACAGAGTATAATGTCGTTATCCGGGACCACGTCATTTGATTTGCACTTTGCACAGAAGATCTGAGCATGATAAGTAAAAGAAAACATGAGTGCACAAAACTTATGATACTCCTGGCCATGAACAGAAATATACCATTTGTGATACTGATTATGCATGCTTACATGTTCATGGGATACTGATCCATCTGGGGCCATAACTGAGTCTTCAATACATCCAACTGCACTAAGCAAATCAAGTTGGTGGATTGCATCCCGTATTCCAAGTTTGCACTTCAAAATCTGTTTTTTTGCTCTTAGTAGTTCCTTCTCTGGCCTGATCTTCTCTCGACTGCAGCAGAATTTCTAGTGTAAGAGTTAAGCGCACATAAGTTTCCCTTCAGCAGGCCCTTCTTTCAGTTGCATATTCCAAAAACAAGCATACCCAACTTTGATTCTCTCAGGTATGTTTCAGGGAGTCAGAACTCAACTCGAAATATTTAAGGCAGATACATTGGTGAAGCTCATATAAAAAGAGGAAGTGCCTTAGGAAATGTCTGCTGTTTCTTTCCTTTAATCATTTCCAATTAATACCCTAAGTTGGTGTAACAAAGATTACAATGTCAATGGCATCTGAATCAAACCTAAGTTGGTCTGGTTAGTGTTGATCTATTAAAGAACTTCATCTTAGAAAAGTAGCTTCTTCACAAACTTAAGAAGCTTAATAAGATACGAATCTTTCAAAACCCATTTTATATACATATTCAGAGAAATTCACTAAAGCAGATTAATATCTCATAGAAACACTTTGATCTTTTAGTTATTAGTTATAGTTTCTCAAAATCAACAGGAATGTGAGAGAAAATATCTTACCTTTGGCCTTTCCATCCTTCACCAGAGTAAGCATCTATAAGGTTCTGCTCCATCTTCATTTTAATCATCAAGTATCTTGTTCTCCTCTGCAACCGTGATGGTTCATCTAGCTCTACATTATTCCTTAGCCTTCCATCTATCCTTCTCCTTTTGAATTTTCTCTTGGCAGTCTCCTTCTTAGGATTCTTGTCATTCAACTCAGGACAGATAGCAGTAGACGGTTCTGACTTCTTCCCGGACCTTTTATAATGTGGTTTGCGTGCACTTTTACCCCGAACCAACTTTCTAGACCTAACACCTTTCCTGGTCACCTTACTTGGAGGACGAGTAACTTTCTTTGATATTTGTTTCTTACTGAGGGCCACCCTGCTACCACGTCTTGACTTTAATGATGCAATTAACAAGGATCCAAATTCTGACTTGGAGAGAGTAGGTTTCTTAGATGCCTGGTCTGCTACTTTCTTCGCGATGCTATGCATATCAATATCTCAGATTTTAGAGCTGAAAAGAGTAGAACATATATGTAAGCATAAAGAAGCATATAACAAGATGCAAACTTTTCAACTGAGCTTCATCCTAGCAAAGCAAATCTATAGCCTCCCCATATATTAGCAAATGCGTTAACAAAAAGGAACCCAATTCTTGGAACTATAAGCACAATCTTAGCAATTACTGAGAGAGAACACATAAGGCCGAGATCATGACAATTGGGCATTGATCCCTATAGAAACAGTATAAAATAATGAAACGAAATATCACATTGCAGCGCTGCAAGCTTTAGTAAGATCAATTGGACCAGCGGTGGAGGAGTTGAACGGAGAGAAACCGTAAATGAACAGCCACATTACATCTGACGAAACTAAAGTATATATGCGAGGAAGAAGAGAAGGGTACCCTGTAAAACTGGAGAATTTGGAGGCAAGATCGATAATTGAAAGGGCTTGCAGCTGTTGTAAGAGAAAAGGAAGCGAAGAGCGAAGAGAAGGGTTATTGATCTGAAGAGACCGAGGGGAAAAATGCTCGAACTTTAGAATTTGAAATTCTGGGGATTGTGAGTTGAAGGAAGAAGAAGGATTTGACCTGCTGATGGGGGCTTTCGCACAACAGAAGATGATTGATTGGATGCAGGAATTAGACGATGGGCGATGGTTCTGTCTGCTGCGCTTCTGCTTCCTTCCTTTCCTTTCTGTTTTTTTCTTTTTCTTTCTCGATTAGTTCTCTCTCGCTATTATTAAGTGTAGTCTTTGCACTCTCCTCGGTCCTCGCCCAATCCCAATGGTCTACTTTTTTTTTTTTTTTTTCCGCCAAAGCTCTCCCTATCTTGCATAGATATAACTAGCTTATACCCCTGCCCAAAGGGCAGGTAGTTTATTTTACAGCATAATTTTTTTTATTTTTTTTATCGCTTCTTTGTTTTTTGTGAAATTTTTTTATCACTTTTGAAAGTACATTAATTAAATTTTTATTTCACTACAATTACTTTGTGACTGAGAAAGCAAGAATACATGAGTTCTATCAAACAAAATTTTATTTTTTGGTAGAGTGGCGAATTCAGGATCTAGACTAAAAAAGGCCGGCAAATAACAATATACATGTTTCTAAAGTTGAGCCTACAAGGGACTGAGCTGGCGAAGACGGAAGTTAATAACCCAGAAAAGAGAGAGAAGGGAAAGTAAGAGAGAGAAAAGCTCTAACCTCTCTCTTCCACTTTTCTCGGATTGTTACCGTTTCTTCCCGTTTTTCCAACGGAGCCTCCATCGGAGGCACTTTTACCGAATCCAAAATCGCCAGATTCATCTCCGGCAACGACGCCAACACAGCCAGCAAGAAGGCGAAGGCAACCTCGATCAGTAACTTCTCAGGACAGGTAGATATGGAGGTTGCGATGGTTATGCAAGAGAGGAAGATGTCAATACAGAAATGGAGATGTCAGAGAAAAATCAAATGTTCTGGAGCTCTCCCAACGAGGGGAACGAAGGAAATCAACCAGGAAGGGCCTCCTATAAAGACTCTGTCCTCGGAAATGAACCGATGCCGATTATCCCAGATGGGGACGACCTCATGTCGGACGAATCAGATTGTGAGGAAGCAGAAGACGATCCGCTCTGCTCAACCATCCACATAAAAAAGTGCATATGCAAGTAGGGGTGGCAGTTCGGTTACCGGTTAACCAAAATAACCACTCCCCCTACAGAAAATCGCCCGAAATAGACTTCGGTTTTTCGGTTATCTCGATTATCGGTTAACCAAACCATTTTTAAGACAAAAAACCATTTCGTCCAGCCTCCGATAACCGACCGAAGTTCGGTTACTTCGATTACCTGTTAGTGGATAACCGGTCGGTTATCGGTTTAAACGGTCGGTTATCGGTTAACCGATAACCGGTAACCGAACTGCCACCCCTAGTTGCAAGGGTGCGCCATCGTTGGAGCAAAGCCATCACTTTCAGAATCCTTGGTAAGAGCCTCCCGTTTTCTTTCATTCATAGGAGAGTGCATTCGATGTGGGCAAAAACAGGATCAGTGAAGATAGGAGATATAGGGAATGGTTATTATCAGGCCATTTTTGGATCACAGCTGGATTACAACAGTGCCTTGTATAGAGGTCCATGGACGGTGGATGATCAGTATATTGCTTCTGAGCCTTGGAGACTGGACTTTGATCCAGACTATGATGTAATCAACAAAACCATGGTGTGGGTTCGTCTCCCACGTCTCCCAATGGCATATTTCAATGATGAGATTCTGGAAAGCATTGGAAGCAGACTAGGGAGGTGGTAAAAATTGATTACAATACAGTCAACGGGTTTAGAGGAAACTATGCCAGAATCTGCATTGAAATTGACCTAAGGAAGTTGTTGGTCCCGAAATATAGACTAAAGAGAAGAGTGAGAAGGGTGGAGTATGAAGGTCTTGACAAGTGTGCTTTGAATGCGGCCACTACGGACACTTGGAGGATATATGCCCCAAGTTGGCATCGATGGCGAATGCCAAACCAGAACAAAGACAGTCGATGAAGGAACGCAGATGGTGAGCCAGGAGATACGTCCGGAAGTCCTGGAAGACTTTGGCCCGTGGATGATTGCAACTAGAGCAAAGAGAAAGAAGAATCCACAAAAAGGAGTCGAGAAAAAAGAGTTGCAGGGAAAAGGACATCCAAAAAGAGAAGAACAAGTGGGAGGATCTAGATTTATTGCACTTAATACTAATGTGGAGGACTCGGGCGGGGGGGGGGGGGGGGGGGGGGGGGGAGAGAGAGAGAGAGAGAGAGAGAAGGATGATGAAGTAAATAAAGAGGAGAAACAGTAGGTAGAGACTAAGGAGAAAACCGACGAGAGTTTGAAAGAGAATACGGGGAAAGAGAAAAATCAAAGAAAATGCATCAATCAAAGGATTCCTTAAGGAAAGAAAACAAAAAAACCTCACTTGTGATCTCGAAAGCGGATACAAAGTCCTGTAGTGATGCTAAGACTGGTCACTGGTGGGGACTCTAAACCAAGCCCAGTTGGAGCAGGGAGAGGGAAAGTAGTGATAAAGGAGGAAAAACTCAAAGCGGGTAGCAAAACTCCTTCGAGTCTAAAACAGAAAACTAGTGACAGCAGAAAGCAAGAAGGAGAGAAGGAGCAGAATGTGGATGGAACGACAGGACACCAACCTAAAATGAAGGATCCCTCACCACAAGGAGAGAAGGTGTCCAAAAAGAAGAAATCATCACCCCTAGATAGTGGGAGCAGTAAACCCCGAAAGCTGGACTTTGTCCATGTTGCTGGGAAGGAAACTGCAACGCCAGAGAATGTAGCCTTGAACCAACAAGATAGTGCAAACAACCTGAAGGGCAAGGAAGAGACGCCTATGGCTGTCGACTCCACTGGAAAGTAAGCTGCAAAGCTTGGTGAAGGGAAGTTTTTCTATATCTTATGATTAGATTTTTTTCCTGGAACAGTCGAGGTGCAAAGCACCTGAAATTTTGCTCTACCATGGATTTTTATATGAAAACTTATGCACCAAACATTGTTTTTATTTTGGAACCTAGAGTCAGTGGCGATGAAGCTGAGAAAGTGATGAAATCCCTGGTTTTGATTCATGGAAGGTCTCGGATGCCATTGGTTTTAGTGGAGGAATATGGGTACTTTGGAATAAGGACGAATTGGATCTTCAGCAAGTGGATTGTCACAAGCAATTCATCAACTTGAAGTGTTCAATTGAGAGCAAGCTTGTCTGCCAAATCACGGTAGTGTATGCTAGACCAAATGAACACAACCGTGGTGTGCTCTAGGACGAAATTGGCAGAATCCGAAGAGGAACCACAGTTCCCTGGGTTTTGATTGGATATTTCAACTCCATTTCAAAATCAACGGACAAAGTGGGTGGTGCCCCCTTCAACTTTGCAAAAGGCTAGGGCTTTTAATAAATGCTTGGATGATAATGAACTAGTGGATTTGGGGTTCCTTGGCCCTAAATTTATCTGGTTCACTAGAGGGTCTAGGCTCAAAGAACTCCTGGACAAGTGTATTTGCAACTCTGAATGGCTGAAAAAGTTTCCGAAGTCAACCAATTTGCACTTGACGAAACTTAAGTCAGACCATAGGCCAATACTGTTGAGCAATGAAGGCCCAGTGGACAATAGTAAATTGGTGAGGAGATTCCATTTTCTTGCACCCTGGATTACTCATGATTATTTTTTTCATTCCTTAACAAAGCTTGGACCTTTAATAATGCACTTCCCTTTGCCTTGCATGACCTTACAAGTAAACTCAGCGACTGGAATAGAGACGTGTTTGGAAATATTTTCAAGAGGAAGAAGAGTCTTTGGAGTTGACTTCAAGCATTGGAAGCCAAGAATGAGAGATCCCCTAGCTTTCAATCTAGACTGCAAGAAAGGAATGTGAGAGAAGAGCTAGAGGAAACTCTTTGGCAGGAGGAGATACTTTGGCCGCAAAAGTCAAGGGCCAACTGGATTATACAAGGAGATCATAACACTAGATTTTTCCACAATTCCACGCTGAGTAGAAGAAGAAGGAACAAGATCTTGGGACTTCGTGATGGGGAGGGAAACTTGATTACTGATCCCAACATTCTGCAACAGATGGCCAGAGATTTCTTTGTGGCTCTCTATACTAAGGAAGGACATACTGCTCCCTCTCTGGTCCCTGTTGCATTTCCAAGCATTGGAAATAGAGAGAGAGCTAGGTTGAGCAGCCCTCCCAGTGCAGATGAGATCAGAGCTACTGTCATGGAGATGAAGGGTCTGAAGCCACCAGGAAAAGATGGCTGCCAGGCCATCTTTTTCCAAAAGTGTTGGAAGCAAATAGGGAGTGATTTCACATCTTTCATCATTTCTTGCTTTGATGTTCCCACTAAAATTAAACTTATGAATCATACCCTTCTGGCTTTGATTCCCAAAACTGACTGCCCTGACTCTATGAACCAGTTTAGACCAATTAGCCTTTATAATGTGGGTTACAAAGTCATGGCAAAGTGTTTAGCTAACAAACTTAAGGCTCTAATGCCGGTTCTTGTGCATCAAAACCAAACGAGTTTTGTTCCTGCTAGACACATAACTGACAACATCCTCATTTTGCAGGAGACTGTGCATTCGATGGCTAGGAAGACAGGCAAGAAAGGAAGTATGCTCCTGAAGGTGGACCTTGCCAAGGCGTACGACAGGATCGAATGGCAATTCCTTAAGCAGACCCTAAGAAGTGCTAACCTCCCAGAGAATTTCATAAGAATGATTATGGAGTGCGTCACAACTTCGGAAATGCAAGTGCTATGGAATGGGGGGGAATCAGAAAGCTTCAAACAAAGCAGAGGCTTGCGTCAGGGATGTCCTCTCTCCCCTTACCTTTTCACTCTTTGAGTTGAAAGGCTTAGCCATAGCATTCTTCGGGAAGTTAGTTACAAGAATTGGAAACCGGTTAAATTATCAGCTTGTGGTCCAGCCCTTTCCCATTTGTTTTTCGCGGATGACCTTGTCCTTTTTGCTGAGGCCAACTGTAGGCAGGCTGAGATTATCATGAAATGAGTTGATTCTTTCTGCTTAGCCTCAGGGGGGCTTCTTGGTAAAGAGAAATCCAGGGTTTACTTCTCGAAGAACATTAGAGGTAGTGCTAGGCAAAGTATTTGTGCTAAGTTGGGAATTCAGTCTACTATGGACCTAGGTAGATATCTAAGGGTGCCTGTGCTTCATGGTAGAATGTCTAAACTAACATACAAATACATTCTTGAAAAAATGGATAGCAAGCTATCAACATGGAAAGCAAAAACCCTTTCTCTAGTTGGAAGGGTCACACTTGCTACTACTGTTTTGAATGTTATACTGTCCTATGCAATGCAAACTTCCTTTATTCCCTGTTCTGTTTGTGATGCAATTGATCAAAAAATTAGAGCATTTGTCTGGGGTACTTGTGAGGGGAAGAAGAAAGTGCACCTGATTGCTTGGGATACTATGTGTAAACCAAAGAATCAGGGTGGACTAGGGTTAAGGTTTGCTAGAAGCCTCAATCTGGCGTATATGGTAAAACTAGCATAGCAAATCCTTAACAATGACTCTGATATGTGGGTTAAAGTCATGCAGGGTAAGTATTTTCACCACAAGGAGGGCAAGATTTGTTCTATGAAAAAGAGCAACCACTCAAGCTTGTGGAAGGGAATAGTGAAAGTTATGCCCTACATAAAGAAGGCTACCTTGTGGAGCTTAAGAGATGGGGAAACAACAGGGTTCTGGACTCACCCTTGGATATCTTGTGATATGACACTGGAGGAGCATGCATTAAGAGCTCTGAAGGAGGAGGAGATGGCATCATCAGTGGCAAGCTGGGTGGATGATTCAGGTGATTGGGACTGGACGAGAATGAGATCTTACCTTCCTAATGACGTCATTGATCTCATTGCAGGCACTGAAGCACCAAAATCAGGGCTTGGTGAGGACAAGAAGGTGTGGGGAATCGAGAGAGATGGAAGATTCAGACTCAAGTCTGCCTACCTCCTTGTGACAGGGGAGAACGAGGATCCACCGATACAGACATGGAAGGATCTCTGGAAATGGAGAGGCCCTAGTTGAATTAAACACTTCTTATGGCTTGCCAGTCACAACAGACTGCTTACCAACAAGGAAAGGGAGAAGAGGAAGCTGAATGTTAATGGGAGCTGCAATTTCTGTAGGACAACTAATGAAACTACAGAACACATCCTCAGATCCTACTCAAAGACAGCTGGCGTGTGGAGTTTTTTTGGAAACAAGCTCGCAGTTAAAGACAAGAACCTGAATTTCGAGGAATGGCTGAATAGAAATATGATGGATCCTGAGAATGGAGTGGACTTCGGCATTATCTGCTGGAGTCTATGGAAGTAGAGGAATGAGGAAGTGACGGATGGGAAGAGATTCTGTGAAGCTGGTCTTATTCATAGAATCACAGCATGGATCAACATCAATAGTCAGGCTCTAATGAATGCCTAGAAGAGCTTGATGTCACCCAAAGCCACCAAATCAAGCCACGAGATTTCTTGGAAACCTCCTAGAGAAGGATGGATTCAAGTACAATCCGATGGATCTGTTCTTCAACCTTCTGGACGTGCAGCTGCAGGTGGTCTGCTGAGAGATCATCTCGGAAAGTGTATGGGGGGGGGGCGTTTATTTGCAATCTTTGGAGGTTCACCATCACCGGGGCGGAACTGAAGGGTGCAGCAGAGGGCCTGTAACTAGCTTGGAAGCTTGGCTACAGGAAAATTGAGCTTAATTTGGACTCTAGAACACTGTCACGGACTTCTCGCGAAGCAGTTTAGTAGCTTACTTTTGAGGAAGTGGTCTGTTGAGATTAATCATGTTTATCGTGAATGTAATTTCGCAGCGAACTTCTTAGCTACTAAGAGTCATGGTTCTTCTTTTGGCACACATCCCTTCAATGTGAGCGACCCGAACCTCTGTTATTGGTAGTACCATGATTCTATGAGAATTTTCAGGAACCATTTGATTAATGACATGATATAGGACGCGGTTAGCGTTTGTCTTCTACCAAAAAAAAAGTTGAGCCTACATTTTGGAGGAGGACTAATAGGCACATCCTATCACTTTCTAATATTTTTTTCAAGACACGAATAAGCACATTATAATCTTAGATAAGAAAATCGAGTGGGCTGTAGCTTCTTCCTAGACTACACGTAGCTCGATCGCTTATTTAGTATGTTACTTTGTTAGCCTTTCTTGTAAGAAAACATGTGATAATATATAAATTATCAATTTTTTAGTGATAACAATAGTAGTATAGTTAAAATTGTAATAAATGAAAGGATTATGTATCTCGTATTTAGATGTCAAAATTGTAATATTTTATGTGCATGTGAAATCTATAATATTAATACAAATAAATACGATGCATATTATAGATATATATTACTATATATTAATTTCTTAGAGAAAATAACATTTTTAATTCATTTTTTTAACTCATCAATTATATGCAGTTGTTTCAGTTTGAAAATTGAAGGGTAAAATTGATTAAAAAACGAATAGTCGGGACCGGAGAACCGTTTCTCAGAAAAACGCAGGGACAGGGGCTCAAGATAGGGCGAGTAACCTTAGGGTGAGTAACAATGAGTAACCAAATCTGGACCCTTCTTTTAAGTGGCTGCAGATCTAAGGGTGGAGAATTAAAAGAATTTATTTTCCCTAGTTTTCTTAATTGGATCATATCTTCTTCATTCTAACTCGGATTTCAATTTTTTTTTTGCACAGATGGAACGAGTTCGTTGTGCTCTACAAAATGATATCTATTTTCAATATTTTTTTAGGGAAAAAATTTCATCCCTCTCGTTACCAACTCCATACCATATGGTATCTCCTTCGTTGTTTAGTCATTTTTGGAAATTTTTGCACAAAAAAACGATTTAATCATGATCTATTAGATTTCAAAATTTTCTATGGGAAAAAATTCCATAAATCTCGTTACCAACTCCATACGATACTATACCACCATGGTATGAAGTGGTATTTTTCATACCATATGGTATGCTGTTATTTAATACCAGTCAAATTTTTTTTGTTCAAAAAAATATCAAAGTGGATATCATTTTGAATCGTTACCAACTCCATACCATACTATACCACCCTGGTATGAGGTGGTATTTTTCATACCATATGGTATGCTGTTATTTAATACCAGTCAATATCATATGGTATTGACTGGTAATTAGGGATGGCAATTTTGACCTGACCCGTTTTACCCGACCTGTTTGACCTGTTTTGGGCGGGCATGGGTACTCTCATCGACCCGACCTGTCCTGACCCGCCCCATTCTCGACCCGTTCTTGCCTAAATTACACGTAATTTTAGTCAAATTACTTAGGATTTCTCTTTTATTACATCAAATCTTAGCTATAATAAAGACGTAAATTAGTGAAAACCTCAATTTCTCCAATAATTTAACTATATTTCTCATAATATTGTTTGTTTCCTTGGTCTTATAATAAAAACAACGAATATTTCTAATATTTTTCATATAAATTGCATACCCATTGGGTCGACCTGCCCCGACCCGTGACCCGTGATAAATTACCCGACCTGCCACGGGGCGGGTCTGGGTACCAAGAAACCCGCCCCGGACCTGCCCCATTGTCATTCCTACTGGTAATAACTGACAAATTTTTTTTGTTCCAAAAAATATCAAACTGGATATCATTTTGAAGAGCACAATTAATCTGATCTAACTGTGCAAAAAAAAAAATTAAATTCCGAGTTAAAACGAGTGAGAAATCGTCCGTTAAAGATTAAGAGAAAGAAAATTAATGATTTTTTCAGGAGAGAGAAGGAGGCGATGATGTGACAGATTCTTATTAAATTATGCATGGGGTCACTCACCACAAGGTTACTCACAGTCACCGGCTCTGCTACCCAGAAATTAAAAAGGGCAAAACTGCCTGATTTCGAAAATAACAGGGAGAGCTTGGAGTCCGACGTGGACGAGGTTTTTTTTTCCAATCCCCTTTAATATATTTTAAGAGATAATACACAAAGTATCATTCGATGTAAGTGGGGACAAAGATAAAAATAGATACATATATAATTCTACGCACTCAAATTGGTTATAAAAAAAATTATGTTTTCTTGGGCAGTTTCGATTTTTGCAGTTTGTTTATGATCATGTGAAAGTTGTATCTTTGGCGTCGTTTGGAAGTTGCAATTGTTTTGTTGAGATTGTCATTATGTATGTATTGTTTATAATGCATAGTTTTTTGTTTTTTGTTTTTTTAGCAGAAACAATACATGGATTGTTACTGTGATGTGACAGAAACTATTATTCATTTTGAGTGATTGTTATATCTCAACTTTTAGTTGTGATTGTTGAGATGGTTGAGTTGAGATTGTTTTGTCTCGGCTTTTAGCTGATGCGACATACACTATCACACATACCAAACGTTGTATTCTACAATGCATCAAATTCGACAATACATGAATAATATTATACATGCATTCTCAACAATACATCTATTTAACAATCGCAACTTCCAAAAGACCCCAATTTTCTTGGTAATACAAGTGACTTTAGATCAAAATTGTGTTTATATTTTTCATTTTGAGCGTTGAAAAGTTTTGTATAAATTATATACCATTTTACTTACAGAAAAAATTGAGGAAAGGACAATCATTTAAAAGATTATCAAAGTTAAATAATAATTATGTTTTAAGTTCTTTAAACTTTGTATGAGTTTTATCTGAAATTCAAACTATATGTTGAAAAGGAAAATATGAATTTTTTATTTATTTTGATATGACTCTCCAACAATCTATTGCAAAGAAATCAGATCCACTATAGTGTCATACGCAATCTAATGGACTAATGATAATATCTTAGAGGGTGTTTGCTTGTAGGAAATCCTACAAGCAAACGACCCCTAAATGATTATAGAGAAATTCATATTTATAGTCTAGAAATTCATATTTAAAGTCTAACTATCATCTTATAACCACCTCAACTAGGATGATTTGATTTTCTTATATGGACAAGCTTTCAAAATATTTCTTATCACTCTTCAGCCTCCTATACCTCCCAAATGTCATGACGTACTCACAAAATGAATGTTCCAAAATCGAATATTGTTATTCTAACAACTTGGCTAAAAAAAAAAAAAAGAGAGAGAGAGATAAAAATACTCATTACAATTACTTCACAAAATCCATTCATTTTCTTCCTACTTCCCTCATATTTTCAATTCAACCAACCACCTCAGAATTGCCATGGCACCTCAAGGTACCACAAGATCTATCTCATGCATTATGCCATGATCCACCACCACTTCCCTATGAAGTCAACCAGCCACCTGAAAGTTGACTTGGCACCTCAAATAAAACTTTGTTGAAGTTCCATGATCATCCAACTTAGCTCTTAATCATCGAAGCCGCTTTTGTAATCAGCCTCACTCTTCAAAGGGAAAACACACTTCAAAATTGGATTATTTAGCATTAGGTGAACCACGTTGCGAGCCATCCCACTACCACCATAGTTTTGGAAGCACCATAAGAAACAGAAAGAGCCCACATTGGAAGGACTTGGCATAGCCAAAATGTACAATCTAAGTTCCCAATTCATGACAAAAGTAGCAATAGCAGTAAACAGAAGCAAAAATATGAAAACAGTAATGTTTCCCTTGGTAGCACTTGATTTGCATAGTACTGGAGAATCAAAGGCAATAACAAGTTCAAATGTATTTATTTCATGACTTCATATAGCCGTCATTAGCCAAATGGTAGCTGTATCTCTTTCCAGCCTACAAACTCTAAAATTACCAAATAACAACCTTAACAAACACCGCGTCTCAACCCATTCTCCCCACCAAATCCTGCATGAACAATAACCATGTATCAATGTTTATAGATTCACAGAAGCAAGCATAGCAACCAGCAGCAAAGATCGCTAGTGGATAATAAGCAAACAAATAGAGTACAACAAATAAGTCTACTAGTCATACTATGGATGTCCAAGTTACCAGCACTAGCTGTTGACAAACACGCACCTGCCACGTTGGATAGCAACCAACAAGTACATATAGGCTAACAAAAGCTCTTATCGGAAGAAATCATAGCCAATTCGAAGACTTCCTATAGTGGCTATGCGCTTCTACTTTGGTGTGGTACTCACCAAACAAGAGCACAATAAGATGAAACACAGAAATAACAAGATAAGAATAAACCCAAAAGAATCAGATAACCACCTAGAACAGAGAGAAAGGACCTCAGGATCCATGCTCAATCATAGTCAGGATTCCCTATTAATTCCTCTTGTTCAACAAAACGTGCAAAACACAACACAAACTCAGAGGACCGTGGAATATATTTATCTCTCAAAATGGCTCCTGACTTAAGTGCACAACAAATTCAGCGACTTCTTCAGGGTTTCACATCACAGGCATAAATTCCAAACGACATCTCTCTGTAGTAAGTAAACATAAACAAGCAGACAACCATGGACACAATGATCCATTTTTCCTTCTCAACTCTATCACCAACTAGAGTTATGATATGTCCCAATATTCAGTCAAAAGAACCCAGCTCTAAAGATTCAAAGTTTAGATAATGAAAGGAAACACGAAAAATGGAGATAATTTGCGCGCACACACATAAGACCACATTCTCAAACATCGGAGAATCATACAACAGACATCACTTACCAAGGGGAAAAGATAGATGAGCATTTGCTGATCCCCAATGAGCATTAACAAACTACTGAATTCCCCAATTCAAGACGAACAATAGCCCGATTGAATCAATCAAGTACACTAATTGAGCAGTAAAATCAAACCATATTTCATTGATGTACAATTCACGATCTAAAGGGTAAATCAAATCTCGCCCAGATGCATAAACAACAACCACCAAAAGACTACCGCACCGATTGCTTTCATGCAAATGATTCGCGGACAAACAAGAACAGATATACTAATCCAACTCATGAATATTGCCAACGAATGCCCACCATCTTTCACGGGAAAACAAAAAGAACGAATAGCACACAACCTGAATTGCAGAAAATCGAAGGAAAAGATCAGTGACCGCCGTGCTCTTTGGCATGCTGCTGGTGCTCCAAATGGCGGCGCTCTTCCGGGAGGGCGACAAGATAAGAGAAGATCATCCCGCCGAAGCAGACGTGGTATAGCGGGTCGATGGAGCTGGTCTGGATGTACTTGGCGTGGTAATTGTCCAATCCTTTCTGCACAGATTTCTTCACGAAATCGAGGGAGAGCATCGGCTTCACGTGGTCAGGGACCTCCTTCACCTTCAGCCCCTTAATCTCGTTATAGAACCTCCTCATCGCCATTTTTTTCTCTCTTCCGATCGCAACTGTTCGCGAGAACCCTAAGCACCGGAATCGATTTCGGATTGGGAGAATTTGGGGAAATGCAGGGGCAACAACGCCCTTGTTGTTATTGTAACAACACTAGCCTCCAACCAATAGGAAGTTAGGATTGTGATGACTTTTTATTTGATGAGTTGACCTAGTGTAAAATCAAAGCAGGGGTATAATTGTCATTATGAAAAATCTGTTTAAATAAAAAAATAATAAAATAAAATTTTAAAAAATATTTTTTATTTTCTGCCCAAAAATTGGGTCGCCGGAATTCTGCCACCGGTCGCCGAAAACTGGTCTCCGGTCATCAGAATATGCTTTTTGTCGCCGGAATATGCTATTTCTCGTCGGAATATGCTATTTCTCGCCGGAACATGCTCACCGTCACCGGAATATGCTTACCGGCGTCGGAATCTAGTCATCGGGGCCGGAATATGCCTATCGGCGTCGGAATCTGCTCACTGACGGTCACCAGTCAACGATCACCGGATGTTATAGTTAGCATTGTGAGATTTATGGTTTGGTTTCTCATATTTTTTATGCCTTTTGTGGTTTGCTTTATCGTGTTTGTGGTTTGCATTAAGAAGTTTCTGGTTTGCTTTATCGTGTTTGTGGTTTGCATTGAGAAGATTCTGGTTTGCTTTCAAAAAGTTTGTGTTTTGCATTGAGGGGTTTGTGGTTTGTTTTAAGAGATTTTTGGTATGCATTAGGAGGTTTCTGGTTTGTTTTTGTGGTTTGCTTTAACGTGTTTGTGGTTTGAATTATGAGGTTTCTGGTGTGTTTTTTAAAATTCTGTGGTTTGCTTTGTGAGGTTTCTGGTTTGTTTTAATATATTTTTGGTCTGCATTAGGACGTTTCTGGTTTGTTTTTGTGGTTTGCTTTACTGTGTTAATGGTTTGCGTTATGAGTTTTCTGGCGTGTTTTTGAAAATTTTGTGGTTTGCATTGTGAGGTTTCTGGTTTGTTTTAATATATTTGTGGTTTGTATTAGAAGGTTTCTGGTTTGCTTTTGTGGTTTGTTTTACCGTGCTTGTGGTTTGCATTAGGAGGCTTCTGGTGTGCTTTCGCAAATGTTGTGGTTTGCTTTGTGGGGTTTGTGGTTTGTTTTAGAGGATTTGTGGTCTCCATTAAGAGGTTTCTGGTTTGCTTTTTTGTGGATTTTTATCACGTGTGTGGTCTGCATTAGGAGGTTTCTGGTGTGTTTTCGCAAATGTTGTGGTTTGCTTTGTAAGGCTCGTGGTTTGTTTTAGGGAATTTGTGGTATGCATTAGAAGGTTTTTGGTTTGCTTTTTTGTGGTTTTTTTTATCACGTTTGTGGTCTGCATTAGGAGGTTTCTGGTGTGTTTATTAAAGACTAGTGATCTGCATACCGATTAACTCCTAAATGCATACGATAAACACAACAATACACTAAAAGACATTAAAAACACAATCAATTCAACCTGCAATTTGACCTGGTGTTCTATGACTATAAATGGGAAGTCTTCATTGATTAATTCATCCAAGACTTATTAGTCATTTACCTAACTGATCGAAGACTTCCTCCTGCTCTATTAACCTACATGCATGATAATTATATAATTAATTAATTAGCAACCTGAGAGATCGAGGTCCTTTTCTTGTTTGCATCTCCAATTTTCAACAATTCTTGCCGTAATTACAAACTGGAAATGTACCCAACAAGAGAAGACTCGAGTTCCATCATCGCAGTATAAATTGCTATGTGATAGAAGAAGCAGGAGCGGCGTGGAAGAAGCAGGGCAGTGGAGAAGCAGGAGCGGCGTGGAAGAAGCAGGGCAGTGGAGAAGCTTCGCCGATGCGGCGGTGGTCGGAAGGCAGGATCAGCCCGCCGACTCCTCCCCCGAGGGTTTCGGATTCAGATCTTCTTCAGCTGAACTGGATCTGAACCCTGGCTGCTCCGAGAGCCCCTTCTGCTCGATCCACGCCGAGAACGGCAACGGCAATGGCTACGGCAACGCTGACCTTCACTTCCGATGGTCCCGTGCTGCCTCCGCCGACTGAGATGCAGGAGGAAGGTGCTGCGGTGGCGGAGATGGATTAATTAGATTTTATTTTATTTTTTATATTAAATTACCCTATTACCCTTAATGAATCCTGTTGTTACAGTAACAACAAAGGAGTTGTTGTTATACTATCCGCTCCCAAATGCGGGAATTGGGATCGGAGACGTGCAGCTAAGCGTGTTTGTAGAAGTGGACGAGCTTACATTGTAACTCGACGACTTGGTGATGGGTCCTTCGGCCCATCGCGTATTGTGAACTTATGTTATAACGTACTGGCACATGTCCAGTCGAGAAAATTTTGTGAGGAATATGATATATAATAATTGATATAATAAATGATTTGAAATGTATTAAATTAATTTTTTTATTTTAATTATTTCCATAACATTTTTGAAAGTAATTCTATGCATAATGTGTTTAGACCTCAATGAAAAGCGAAAAAATATTATATAAATATTACATATAATTATTGAATAAAAGAAAAATAAATATAACTAATTGTCATTCATTACTTAATTAAATCATATAGTTGAATATTAAAGTTACTTCTCATAATACATATAAATCAACCTTTTTTTAAGAAACAAATCAACCTTTATGAAAGAAAATGTCTCTCATAAAGTTTAGTATGTCCCACATATTCTCATAATCACTAACTGACTTGTGCTTTTTGCAGTAGATAGTTCAAAATGTGCCTTAAAACTTTTGTTTCCACCAGAGTAAAAGAATTGTTTGAACCAAAAGATTGTAAAATCGTATCGAAAAAGTTGATAATAGAGTATTTTATATTGAAGTCATAATTTAACCGTGGTTAAATCGTTTCGTGTTGCTAAATATCACTTATCGATTTAGCCTATGGTGTGATGCTTTATGGTCGAACTACCGGTACGTGAGATCTTTCAATTCAAACTTTAAATAAAAAACCACTAAAATATTGACATTATCAAATACCCTTTAAATCTCAGAAATTACTATAATCGTATTCAGGAAAAAATCATCCAAACGATAATATTGATTTAAGATTTTAGATTGATATGGAAAAAAATCTGTCAACTATAATGTCATTTCCTTAAATAAATCAAAACTCAATAGAAGACGGTCAAGAAGACCCACTAAGCAAAGCAAAAGGGCAATTATTACACAATACTTCATTTCCCCCTCTTTTAAATGTGTCCTCTCGCTCTCTCTTTGTCTTCCTCTTCAAAATGAGATTCTAATACTGAATGGGAGATTGTGTGTTCTGAATTTAGATGAATTGCAGAAAGAGATCCTTCTCTCCAAAAGGGTTTCACTATAATCACCAAAACTCCTTAACCAAGTACAGAGGGTTCGGCTATCTATATATATGAGGAAACACGCATAAAGAACAATTACATAGACATACATGGCATTGGATAATTACAAGTTGGTACCTAAACCAATAAACTTCAACACCCTCCCTCAAATTGATGTGCGGTGCGCAACATCAATTTGGACGACATATACCAATGCCTACTTGAAGCAACAGTCTTTGTCAACAGATCTGCAGTTTGATCTTCTGTAGAGAGGTACCCAACTTGTATCTTTCCTTCTGCCACTAACTGTCTAATGTAATGAACATGAACTTCAATGTGCTTTGTCCTGTCATGTAGAACAGGATTGATCGCGATATGAATCGCACTTGTGTTGTCCCCATATATACGCATTGGAACTGGACACTCAACACCCAACTCGCCTAGTAGCCGAAATAGCCAAACCAACTCTGAACTTACCTCTAACATGGACCGATACTCTGCTTCTGTAGAAGATTTAGGCACTCTATCTTGTTTGCGATATCTCCAACTCACAAAAGATTTTCCGAATCAAACACACCAGCCCGATGTTGACCTCCGAGTATCTATACACCCTGCATAGTCTGAATCTGCAAATGCCTCAATCTTGGGATCACCTTTCGCCGGAAAGAATAACCCAACATCTTGTGTCTGTTTCAAATACCGCAGAAGTCTGTGAACAGCAACTAAATGCAGATTAGTAGCCACACCCATATACTGACTTACCACTTGTACGACATACAAAATGTCAGGTCTAGTGTGAGTCAGGTAAATGAGACTTCCTACTAAACTGCGATAAACAGACTGATCTTCCATCACTTCCCCCCCCCCCTTCGCGGCTGAGTTTCAGATTTTGCTCCATCGGAGTAGAGCACGGTACACAATCAGCAAACTGGGAGGACTCCAGCAAATCCAGAATGTATTTGCGTTGAGACACAAAAAGACCATGCGACGAGCGGCGCACCTCCAAGCCAAGGAAATACGAGACCTCACCCATCTCTTTGAGGTTGAACGCGCACCGCAAGGCTTTAGTCAACTCTCGGATCCCTTCTGCATCGCTGTCCGTAACAATCATGTCCTCAACATAAATCAGAAGGACCACAATACCATCAATCATACGACGAGTGAAGAGAGACGAATTGTTCCGACTTTGAGCAAACCCAACCTGAAGTATCGTCCCATGAAACTTCTCAAACCAGACACGAGGTGCCTGCTTCAAACCATATAATGACCTGTTCAATTTACAAACCATCGTAGAATCGCCCTTCGCATAGCCAGGAGGTCGCTCCATATACACAGTCTCCTTCAGATCACCGTGAAGAAAAGCATTCTTGACGTCGAGTTGAAGGAGAGGCCAACTCTTCATGGCCGCCACAGCAAAGACACACCGGACTGTCTGCATTTTGACAACAGGAGCAAAAGTCTCCTCATAATCAATATCGTATTCCTATTTGAACCCTTGAGCAACAACTCGAGCCTTAAACCGTTCAATCTCGCCATCAGGAAGCATTTCACATTATAAACCCATCGACTTCGAATGACTACCATCCCATCTTCACAAGGGACAAGATCTCACGTCCTGTTCTTCTCAAGCGCATCCATTTCGACGCGCATTGCCGCATTCCACCTCAGATCCAAAACTGTTTGAGAGTAGCAGGTGGGAATAATGATGGGGGAAGTAGAAAACCTACAAAGTCTTGCATACGAAGGGGTGGTTGTCCCAACGTGGAACGTGTCGACCGCCGTAAGGGAACCACCTGCGGTGTGGGCGGGTGGGAATCATTACCATCACTGGTCGAACCCGAGCCGAAGAGCATCCCCGATGATGATGACGAGGACGAGCCCGCAGACTCGGATGAAGAGGGCGAGCTACTGGACGAAAGGCAGAGCTGCGAAACCCCAGGGGAAAGTGACCCTTCATCATCTTGGGATCCTGAAGTACTGGCCGTGGGTTGAGGAGATGGAGATCCTAAGTGGGGTGTCTCAAAATCCGGCAGAGAAATGAGAAAGTCCAATGAAGTAGTTGTGCTTGCTTCGGCATGAGTGGAAGAGTAATACATGTCCATTTCCACAAATTTTACATGATACCCGATCCGCATACGTCTACCAACTGGATCATAACACATGTAGCCTTTGTGTTTGTCATTGTATCCGACAAACACACAACGAGTCACCTTGGGAACTAACTTGTGCCTTTCTTTCTTTGGTAACAAGACATACCACGTACAGCCAACAACCCGAAGGAATGAATAGTCTGGCAGCCTGGAATACAGAACCGGGTACGGAGATTTCTGTCCTAGAAGAGGTGTGATCTGACGGTTGATCAAATAAACAATCGAGTGCACTGCTTCCACCCAAAAGCCTGTCGGAACACGGGAGTGGAAAAGAATAGCACGGGTAAGCTCTAAAACATGACGATGTTTACGCTCAACCACACCATTCTGCTGAGAAACGCCAGGACATGACTATTGTGGGAGAATACCAGCCGACTTGAAGAACAGAAGGAGATCATTAGAGACAAATTCTCCCCCAGGATCGGATCTGAAAATCTTAACTGTCTTCCCAAACTGAGTACGAATCATCTGAATAAACTCTCTGGCCACTGTTTCAAGTTCCGATTTTCGTTTAAGAAAATAGACCCGCGTATATCTGGTAGTGTGATCAACAAACAAAGCAAAATATCTGAAACCCAGCCGAGAAGTGACCGGGGAGGGACCCCAAAGATATGTGTGAACCAGATCAAAATGATTTTCATAAATCGTGTCACTATCAGACAAGATAGCCTGCGATAACTTTGCTTCCACACAACTCACACAATCTAAAACACCATCTAACTTCGACAAATTCAAAGAATCCGGTAACAAATTTTGCCGAAACATAGTTTTAAGCCTACCCGAATGCGGGTGTCCCAACCGACGATGCCATAATTCCCACAAAGAGTTGCCAACTGAAATATGTGAACTGTAAGCAGAAGATCCAACATAATCAACTAAACAATTATTCTGTAAACTCAAATTCCCACAAGAAGACCCATTTCCAACCCGGGGTCTGTAGCTTTCAAAATTCAAGCTAAATGGCCTTTCGAAAAAAATCGTACAAAAAATTATGAAAATATCATTCTTAAATATTTTTGCCCAAATCTTTGTTTAATGGACTTAATCATCGGCGGAGGATAGGATCAATAGACTTCATCATTGGCAAAGAATAGCCTCGGCCTGAATTCGTGATTTGTAGCCTTCAAAATCAAAAGAAATAGCATTTCAAAAAAATCGCCAAAAATCTGTAATGGTATCCCTTTGGAATCTGCCAAAAATGGACCCAGAAGAAATCCAACCAAATCGGTGTGTAATGGACTTAATCATTTGTGAAGAATAGGCTCAGGATGAATCCGTGATATGTAGCCTTCAAAATCCAGAGAAAATGGCTTTCGAAAAAAATTGGCCACCTAATTTCGAAAAAGCCATCCGAAATAGCATTTCAAAAAAATCGCCAAAAATCTGTAATGGTATCCCTTTGGAATCTGCCAAAAATGGACCCAGAAGAAATCCAACCAAATCGGTGTGTAATAGACTTAATCATTTGTGAAGAATAGGCTCAGGATGAATCCGTGATGTGTAGCCTTCAAAATCCAGAGAAAATGGCTTTAAAAAAAATTGGCTACCTAATTTCGAAAAAGCCATCCGAAATATATTCGCCCAAATCTGTTCTTAATGTACTTAATCATCGGTGGAGAATAGGAACAATAGACTTCATCATCGATGGAGAATAGTCTTGGACCAAATCCATGATCTGTAGTCATCAAAATCGAAAGAAAATAAAATTTCGAAAAAATCGCCCGATATCGGTGTTGAACCCCTTTCGAATTTGCCAAAAATGTACCCGAAATAAATCGACCCAAATCGTTGCTTAATGTTCTTAATCATCGGTGAAGATCAGCCTCAGACCGAATCCGTGATCTTGTAGACTTCAAAATTCAAGATAAATGACATTTCGAAAAAAATCGCACATTTTTTTCGAAAATGTCATTCGAACTTAAATCCATCCTAATATGGACTTAATGGACCTATCATCGGTGAGAATAGAATCAAAAAACTTCATCATCAGTGGAGAATAACCTCGGGCTGAATCCGTGATCTATAGCCTTCAAAATCGAAAGAAAATGATATTTCGGAAAAATCGCCTGAAATCTGTGATGGTATCCCTTTTGGAATCTGTGAAAAATGGACCTGGAAAAAATCTGCCCAAATCGGTGCTTAATAGACTAAATCATCGGTGAAGATTAGCCTCACTCAAATACGTGATCTGATGCCTTTCAAATCCAAAGAAAATGGCCTTTAAAAATAAATTGCCCAAAAATTACGAAAATGTCATACGAAAATAAATCCGCCCAAATTGGTCTTAATGGACATTATCATCAGTGAAAAATAGGATCAATATACTTCATCATCGGTGGAGAGTAGCGTCGGGCTGAATCTGTGAACAATAGCCATCAAAATCGAAAATAATGACATTTTGCAAAATCACCCCAAATCTATGATGATACTCCTTTAGAATCTGCCAAAAATGGACCTAGGAGAACTCTGCCAAATCAGTGCTTAATTGGCTTAATCATCGGTGAAAAATAGTCTCATGTCGAATCCGTGATTTGTATCTTTCAAAATCTAGAGAAAATGGCCTTTCAAAAAAAGTTGACGAAAATATTACGAAAATATCATCTCAAAATAAGTCCACCCAAATTGCTGCTTAATGGACTTAATTATCGGTGGGGAATAGGATCAAGAGACTTCATCTACAAATATATTATAGCAGAGCTGGGGGGCAATTTTTCAGCATTTCAAATTTCATGCAACGAGAGCAAAAGTAGGGTGGATAATTTTGTCTTCACAATCATTATTTATAAGAATAAATATATGTTAATTTGGAATTTGAACCATGGTCTTTACAAACGAAGACAACAACCATTACCAATTACACTAAAGAAGTGTTTGATATTTTTTAAATACAAAATCCGAAAATCTAAATTCTAAAAATCATATGACTTTTCCACTACTATTAGCTACCCACTAAATCTCCCGTAAGTATCGAAAGTAGGAAGAGTAATTCTGCCAAAAATTGAACGGGAATAAATCAGCCCAAATCGGTGCTTAATGGACTTAATCATCGTTGAAGAATAGCCTTAGACCGAATTCGTGACCTGTAGCCTTCAAAATCCAAAGAAAATGGCATTTCGTTGCCCCATAAATAACGAAAATGCCATCCGAAAATAAATTGGCCCAAATCGGTGCTTAATGGACTTAATCATTGTTGAAGAATAGCCTCAGGCTGAATCCGCGACCTGTAGCCTTCAAAATCCAAAGAAAATGGCCTTTCGCCGCCCCATAAATTACGAAAATGCCATACAAAAATAAATTGGCCAAAATCGGTGCTTAATGGACTTATCATCCGTCGAGAATAGGACCAATAGACTTCACTATCGGTGGAGAATAGCCTCCGCCTGATTCCATGATCTGTAGCCTCCAGAATCGAAAGAAAATGGCATTTCGGAAAAATTGCCCGAAATCTGTGATGGTAGTAACCCTTTGGAATCTGCCAAAAATTGACTCGGAATAAATCCGCCCAAATCGTTGCTTAATGGACTTAATCATCGTTGAAGAATAGGCATAGGCCGAATCCGCGACCTGTAGCCTTCAAAATCCAAAGAAAATGGCCTTTCGTTGCCCCATAGATTACGAAAATGCCATCCAAAAATAAATTGGCCCAAATCGGTGCTTAATGGACTTATCATCCGTGGAGAATCGGATCAATAGACTTCATTATCGGTGGAGAATAGCCTCGGCCTGATTTCGTGATCTGTACCCTCCAAAATCTATGATGGTACCCCTTTAGAATCTGCAAAAAATTGACCCGGAATAAATCCAACCAAATCGCTGCTTAATAGACTGAAACATCGTTGAAGAATAGCCACAGGCAGAATCCGCAACAAGTAGCCTTCAAAATCCAAAGAAAATGGCCTTTCGTTGCCCCATAAATTACGAAAATGTCATCCGAAAATCAATTGGCCCAAATCGTTGCTTAATGAAGTTATCATCCGTGTAGAATAGGATCAATAGACTTCATTTTCGGTGAAGAATAGCCTCGACCTGATTCCGTGATCGGTAGTCTCCAGAATCGAAAGAAAATGATATTTCGGAAAAATCGCACGAAATCTGTGATAGTACCCCTTTGGGATCTGACAAAAATTGACCAAGAATAAATCCTCCCAAATCATTGCTTAATGGACTTAATCATCATTGAAGAATAGCTTTAAGCTGAATCCGTGACCTGTAGCCTTCAAAATCCAAAGAAAATGGCCTTTCATCGCACCATAAATTACGAAAATGCCATCCGAAAAAATTTGGCCCAAATTGGTGCTTAATGGACTTATCATCCGTGGAGAATAGGATCAATAGACTTCATTATCGGTGGAGAATAGCCGCGACCTGATATCGTGATCTGTAGCCTCCAGAATCGAAAGAAAATGGCATTACGTAAAATCGCCCTAAATCTGTGATGGTACCCCCTTTGGAATATGCAAAAAATTGACACAGAATAAATCCACCCAAATCAGTGCTTAATGGACTTAATCATAGTTGAAGAATTGCCTAAGGCCGAATCCGCGACCTGTAGCCTTCAAAATCCAAAGAAAATGCCATTTTGTCGCCCCATTAATTACAAAAATGACATCCGAAAATAAAATGGCGCAAATCTGGGCTTAATGGACTTATCATCCGTCGAGAATAGGATCAATAGACGTCATTATCGGTGGAGAATAGCCTCCGCCTGATTCCGTGATTTGTAGCCTCCATAATCGACAGAAAATGACATTTCGGAAAAATCGCCCTAAATCTGTGATGGCACCCCTTTGGAATCAGCCAAAAATTGTCCGGAATAAAGTCGCCCAAATCAGTGCTTAATTGACTTAATCATCGTTGAAAAATAGCCTCAGGCCGAATTAGTGACCCGTGGTCTTCAAAATCCAAAGAAAAGGCCCTTTCGTCGCCCCATAATTTACGAAAATGGCATCCGAAAATAAATTGGTCAAAATCGGTGCGTAATGGAGTTATCATCCATAGAGAATAGGATCAATAGACTTCATTATCGGTGTAGAATAGCCTAAGCCTGATTCTTTGACCTGTAGTCTCCAGTATCGAAAGAAAATGGCATTTCGGAAAAATCGACTGAAATATGTGATGGTACCCCTTTGGAATCTACCAAAAATTGACCCAAAATAAATCTGCCCAAATCAGTGCTTAATGGACTTAATCTATTTGAAGAATAGTCTCAGGCCGAATCCGCGACCTGTAGCCTTCAAAATCCAAAGAAAATGGCCTTTCGTCGCCCCATAAATTACGAAAATGCCATCCAAAAATAAATTGGCCCAAATCGGTGCTTAATGGACTTATCATCCGTGGAGAGTACGATCAATAGACTTCATTATCGATGGAGAATAGCCTCGGCCTGATTCTGTATCTGTAGTCTCAAGAATCGAAAGAAAATGGCATTTCGATAAAAGTGCACGAAATCTATGATGGTATCCCTTTGGAATCTGCCGAAAATTGACCCGGAATAAATCCGGCCAAATCAGTGCTTAATGGACTTAATTGTCGTTGAAGAATGGCGTCAGGCCAAATCCATGACTTATAGCCTTAAAAATCCAAAGAAAATGGACTTTCTTCGCCCCATAAATTACGAATAGTCATTCCAAAATAAATTGGCCCAAATTGATGCTTAATGGACTTATCATCCGTGGAGAATAGGATCAATAGACTTCATTATCGGTGGAGAATAGCCTCGGAGTGATTCTGTGATCTGTAGCCTCCTGAATCAAAAGAAAATGACATTTCGGAAAAATTACCCAAAATTTGTGATGGTACCCCTTTGGAATCTGCCAAAAATTGACCCGGAATAAATCAGCCCAAATCGGTGGTTAATGGACTTAATCATCGTTTAAGAATAGCATCAGGCCAAATCCGTCACTTATAGCCTTTAAAATCCAAAGAAAATGGCTTTTCGTCGCCCCATAAATTACGAAAATGCAATCCGAAAATAAATTGGCCCAAATCGGTGCTTAATGAACTTATCATCCATGGAGATTAGGATCAATAAACTTCATTATCGGTGGAGAATAGTCTCGGTCTGATTCCATGATCTGTAGTCTCAAGAATCGAAAGAAAATGGTATTTCTGAAAAATCGCAAGAAATCTATGATGGTACCCCTTTGGAATCTGCCAAAAATTGACCCGGAATAAATCCACCCAAATCAGTGCTTAATGGACTTAATTATCGTTGAAGAATAGCGTCAGGCAAAATCGGTGACTTATAGCCTTCAAAATCCAAAGAAAATGGCCTTTCGTCTCCCCATAAATTATGAAAATGCAATTCCAAAATAAATTGGCCCAAATCGATGCTTAATTGACTTATCACCCATGGAGAATAGGATCAATAGACTTCATTATCGGTGGAGAATATCCTCGGCCTGATTCCGTGATCTGTAGCCTCTAGAATCGAAAGAAAATGGCATTTTGGAAAAATCGCCCGAAATCTGTGATGGTGCCCCTTTGGAATATGCCAAAAATTGACCTGGAATAAATCCGCCACAATCGAAGCTTAATGGACTTAATTATCCTTGAAGAATAGCCTCAGGCGGAATTAGTTACACGTGGCCTTCAAAATCAAAAGAAAAAGGCCTTTCGACGCCCCATAAATTACGAAAATGCCATATGAAAATAAATTGGTCAAAATAGATGCTCAATGGACTTATCATCCGTGGAGAATAGGATCAATAGACTTAATTATCGGTGGAGAATAGCCTAAGCCTGATTTCGTGTTTTGTAATCTCCAGTATCGAAAGAAAATGACATTTCAGAAAAATCGATCGAATTTGTGATGGTACCCCTTTGGAATCTGCCAAAAATTGACCCCGAATAAATCCGCCCAAATAAGTACCTAATGGACTTA